AAAAGCGCTCTCTAATTGCTCAATAGTTGGCTCGTCTTGAAATACAGTGGCCGCAGCAGATGACTTCGTTAAGTTCCTTGGAGGTTCGCCATTCCATTGGCCTAATTTTACGCGCTGTTCAATCCATTCTCTTTGTAAATGTTCATTCCCCGGCTTCTTGAAACAGTCATTAGGTTCATGATTAATACCGGAGCATTTGGTTTTAGTACATTTAGCTTTAAATTTGTTATTGTGTGTGAATGAATTCGACGCGAAGTGAGCTTCTGCAGCGTGATGAACGGTAGTGGTCTTAGGAATCGTGGTCTTAGTCAACATAGAAACAGCATCAAGTCGCTTTCTAAGTTCAGATACTACTTTGTCGTATTCCTTGACTCCTGAAATCGCTATTTCTCTGGCGTCTTGAAAATGGTTGTTGTTAAGTGAAATCAAGAGTTTTCGACCAAGATCCTCATCTGACATCTGACCTCCAGCAGTTTTATATTTTGTAACAGCTTCTTGAAAGTTTTGAATATGAGTCAAGAGAGGTGTAGTGGAAGATTGGACAATAAGATTGAGAGCTCTTTCTAATAATAAGCGGATTTCTTCAGATCTACAGGAGTGATGATCGGTGACTGCTTTCCATAATTTAGAAGGTAAGTCTTGAGTATCTGGTCCGTTATCACCATAGACCGTTATCTTGGGTTCAAATCTAGCTCTATTAACATCATCCATGTTATTCAACATCCAGTTCGTTATGCATGCCCTGCTCACTTCATCGGTAAATTGACTACTTTCTAATTTTATGTCATCTGATATCAAATAATCCGAAATGAATAGAGACTTCAGTCCTCCACGAATAAACGATGCCCATAACATGTAATTGTCGTCAGTTAGTATTTTCTTTGATCTACCAAGTGATTGATTTAAAAGCATGGCTTGTTGTTGAAGAGTAGACTCATTTGAAACGTTTTGTGATGACATGATTAGATTCAAGTTATCTGGTGATGAGTTTAGATCAGGATTTACGTGATGTTCGATGAGGGATGGAGATGTAGGATCTACGTGAGGATTAGATTGGCTATTACGATTAGTAGGTGATAAAAGTAGTTGGGATATGAATCTGGTTGTTTGATCTCCTTCGTCTTCTGAATGTTCGGACGGTGGGACTTGAGATGATGATTGAGCAAAATAAGGGTCAGGTTCTTGACTCATTCGTTACGAATCGACGATATGACTCTCGCTACCATAAAAATGTACTTGGTGCTTTGAGATACGGGATCTGATAACAAGCTTATAGCTGATAAGCACAACGTCGAACAACAGACGTGTGATGATAAAGATCCTGACCTGATAACAAGCTTATAGCTGATAAGCACAACGTTGAACAACAGACGTGTGATGATAAAGATCCTGACCTAAAGGCACAGTTAGATGTGTTAGTCTATTAGTTATCTTTTATCGATAACTGATCTTTGGAAGTGATGAAAGAAGCAAATTTCTCTTTCCCAAAAGATAGTATTATATTCACCTGATAACAAGCTTATAGCTGATAAGCACAACGTCGAACAACAGACGTGTGATGATAAAGATCCTGACCTACAACGTTGATCAATCTAATCAGAATTCGTACAAATATGTTAAGAAGGAAAATGAAGTTGTTTAGTACCTAAAGGCACAGTTAGATGTGTTAGTCTATTAGTTATCTTTTATCGATAACTGATCTTTGGAAGTGATGAAAGAAGCAAATCTATATAAATTTGAAATAGAGAAACAGAAAAGCAGAAAACATTAATATAACCATAGTGAGATAACAAAAATATAAGGATTACTTACTTCTCTTTCCCAAAAGATAGGGAAAGAAAAGTAATTGATAAAACGGGTCACTACATATATGAGATTTCTTTATCTAAACCGTTGGGGTTATGATATCTTTTGAGTAAATAATAAACCATCTACAATATGTCATTTGTTAATCTAATTTATCATTCCGTTACCAAAACTCTTTACTTCTCGTCGATTGGATACTTCAACAGAAGTCTCTCCCGATTCATCAGTGTTTTCATTGGATGATTGTGGTGGTGGGTTCTTTTTGAATGGCATGGTGGTTTTATGAGTGTGATGATTTATTCAATAAGATGAAGATGTTGATGTGAGTTGATTCGATTTCGTGTTGGTTTGATCAGACTGATGATTGTTCTCACTCCAGTTGAGACCAATCAAAAGTCACAAGGAGTTGGTTTCTTGACCAGTCAAGTTTCCAAAACCTTGTTCTATGATCCTGATCGATATATAGTTGATTTAATCGGTCAATGGGTTGATGAAGCGATAAAGCAGGTGATCGTATGGGATTTGTTTTGTGGTGAGGTATTGTATAGTACCACCAATCTCAAACGCAATACTCACAATACCAAGTATGAAATTTTGATTTCCGGTACTAGTACCGGGCAGTATAGTACTGCAATCCCTGTACTATACTGGTACTGTACCGTAATAGTATAGTACAGTGGCCGCGTTGCTTGGTGGAGGGTATGGTCTTATTGCACATTTTTTCTCCTTTGGTTTGGACACTGATCAACCCTCTTCTGAAATTCATAGGTCAACTGTGGGGAATTCCCTGTCCTAGCCTCTCTCGCACAAGACTCTTTGAGTCTGTCTGCAAGCTTGGCCATTGTGGAACGCACTTTTTCAGCAGCAGCTGATATTTTTTCTTTGGACTGAGTACAACTAGTACCACATACCATTGAATGTTGCGTAGGTTCTTGGCTATGGTGGTGTCAACGTGTACCCCTAGGGCACAATTATAAGGAGGCAAATGAAGGCATTATGGCATTTGGGGGTGGTAGAAAGCCTGACAAAGAGTACTATTGTCATTTTTTTAACTGAATATTGAGATATTTGGTCAAGTTTCCTTCTCTTATAGAATATTTGGTCTTTTTTTATGAATTTGTACACTTTCTGTTCCTGATGAATCAAATCATCAAGTTATTCCTGAAATTGTAGCTCTTTTTTGGTGTTGCTGTGTTGCGCGCAATGGAGTGCAACACAGCAGGAGCTACCGTTGCTAGTTGTGTTGCCGCCATGGTGAGAAATAAAGCTTAAGTTGTGTTGCACAAATTACCCCATTGCGCGCAGCGCAGGGCAGCGGCCCATTTTTGCAAAGGGGGTGGATAAGCTCACCAAAGGTCTGCTAGACAAGGGCTGAAGTGACAGGGAGGAGAAATAGGATAGCAGCTGGAGCAAGATGAAGCATGTGATACAGTCTGGACTCTGAGGAAATCAAGAACATAAAACCCTACTGCCAATAGAGTTTACCCAGCTCAATTGTGTGCAGATCCCGCATTGTATGCACAAAGAAGGCTAAAGAAGGTCTCAGTACCACACGCCAAGCGTGGCGGGGTGTGCCTGGGGCTCAGGACGTTTGACAAGCGTCTGAGTGATGGGAGGCAGGCACACTGGCAGCTCTCAGCGGGTCATCACACCTGGGAGGGTGGTCAGGTCCAGGGAGGACACGGGCCAACACTGCCTTTGGTTTTGGAAAACCAAACTTGGTTTTGGGAAACCAAGAGCCTCAGGCTGGGCCCTTCACCCCCCTGTACTTGCCCTCTTGACTATCATAAAGAGGGCACTTGAGTTATTTGTTCAACTCACTAAGTCTTACCAAAGAGCTATAGGCCCCAGAATGGGGCCTCAGCTGTTGGAGTCCATCCCATAACAATCACAGCAAGTGAGGGAATGAATGAGAGGAACCACCATAACACAGGTGGTTCCATTGTCCATGAAATCCTGCAGATATTTGTGACAGTTGGACCAGTGAAATCTCAACGCCAGTATCAGGAGGATACTGCGCCACCACTTGAGAATTTCCCTTCAGCCAATCCATCTCTCACAAATCAAGATCTTTCCGGAAGAATTTCCCACAATCACATTGGTGATCAATTTTTTGTGCACCCCCCACCCACCCAACAGAGTGCACTCAACATCCCACCCACCGCCTGGAGGACACAGGCCGAGGCTGCCTTTGGTTCTAAATTGTTTAGATAGTGCTCCTTGCGATGAAGCCTTACACGCTTTAAAAAAAATAAGAGGGCACTTGCTTGGGTGATTTGTTCAGCACTCACTGAGTCTTACCAAATAACTATAGGCCTCAGAATGGGGCCTCAGCTCTCGGAGTCCATCCCATAACAATCACAGCAAGTGAGGGAATGGAGAAACTCAGCCAGTGAACAGAACTCCTTGAGGGAAGTGTGTGTACTGTGGCACTGCAGTAGGTTAGTCTTGGTGTGGACCTTCTAAGAGGGCAAACCGCAACTGCAGCTGAACCTCGCAAACACAATATCAGCTCCAACACTGTCTCATAGGTGCACAACATTTATGCAAAAGTACCAAAGTAAACCCTTTTATTGTGCCGCAGGATATTCTTGGTAAGATCTCATAGAGAATCTATAGCAATTCTTACATTATGAGTCCAAGTTTGTTTCACTTACAATGATATACAACAAAACACTTGGAAAAAATGCTATAAATGTTTGCCCATTTGATACATATCACTCTCAATGCTCTGATTTTGAGTTTCAAGTAATTACATATTGATTAAATTCTACCGAAATCTTACAAATTATGTAACCATAATAACAGAAAAAAAACCCATGTCCATCTTACAATCAATCTCAAATTCAAAGGTCAATTTTTAAAGAGAGAGAGAAAAAAGAAGAACAAGTGAGGACTGAAAAATCAAAACAATCAATCTTAAAACAAACTTTTTCTTGCACCGCCTAGGATTTTTCCTTTAACAAGTACACTTGCAATATTTCGATCATCACCCTAAAAAGTTAATCAAAAAACCACCCAAAACACAAAACCAGATCAGTATCATTAAATCATTCAAATCAAAATCAAATATGAAAGAAGTTACAAACAGTAAACAAGAATTTTTCAAACAAATCATTCAATTGAATTTCTTTTTCAAATTCATCAATAAAAAAAATCGGACCACAGCGATCCTGATACTCTTCAAATCCAAATCAAATCAATTCATCATCTTCAACCTTTCCAATCGCATCAAAGGAAACTCCAGTGTGAACAATAATCCCGTCAAACTCTTTACCAACTACAAAGTTACCAATTTGTTCTTCAAGATTACAAACTCTTGCACCACCTAAAGTAGCCAAATAAAACAAATTCTTAATCAAAAGTACTATTTTGAATCTCATGAGTTTCTTTTAAAGCATGATGATGATGATGATGATGATGGAAACCTAAAGCTTTAGTAGCAATCATTCCATCTCTTATACAACTCAAGATTCCAATCTCATGATCTTTTATAGAATCCTCCACTGAATTTTCCTTAAAACTTTCAAATGTTTCATTCCGATCCATCTACGACCAAAAACAACATATCAAATTAACCATCATCCTTAAACAAACCAATCTTTCTGGGTTTTTTGGTTCAACTTACATTACCTTTTTCAATAAATGCACGTTGACCAGCAGCAACACAAACTTGACTTGAAACTTTTGAAGCCGAAAGATGAATCAAAGTAAAATAACAACAAGCAGTTGTACCTGAATTTAATAATCTCTTCACAACTTTTTCAAAAATCCTTTGTGAATAAATGTTGTATGAATATTTTGTTTCTTCTAAAAAGGTCACATTCTTAAGCCAATCAAGTACTAAACCGTCATCAATCAAAGTTTTAAGTTAGAAATCAATGAGTTTTAAGGGGTTTCATGGGTATGCAAGTTTTGGGATTGGATACTTACATTCATATTGTTGTCCAACTCCTACATTCGTATACTGTACAGCATCTAAAAACCTCAGATCAGTCTCATTAAAGATTCAAGCAAACCTTCCCAAACCCCATGAAAATACCAGAGACAAAAAATCAAATCAAATCAAGGACTCACGAGTATGAGTATCGATAAAACCAGGCAAAAGAATCTCTCCATTTCTCAGAATCTCGATCGATTAACTTCTTCTTTTGAATCCAATTCCTCTTCAATAAACGAATCACATCACTTTTTAGATTCCATTCTTGATTTGTCAAGGTTTCTTTTTCGATTCCAAAGATCTTTCCATTTGAATTGAAAACAATTAAACCGGTTTTGATTAGTTGTAGTTCTTCCGGTGAGAACAAATGGATGAATGATCTTATTAAAACTGGTATTGTTCCAGACTGTTCTGATTGACAAATCGATCGAAAAATTTAGTGATGTTTGATTGAGATAGGTGTGGGTGTGAGTAGAATTGTGAAGAAGAAAAGGGTGATACAGAGTTGACTTACATTCAGTTGGATCAGATAAAGTAGAGGTACCAGCTGATTTACAGCTCGATCACGAGCACGTTGTTTGGCGCGTCCCTTTTTAGTTGAAGTTGAGATGGCAGTAGAAGGTGTTCGATGTGATGGAATGATCGGGGTGGTTTGTGAATCGCTTTCTGAATCTGATTCGATTGATTCGACTGCCACTAAACTCACCATGAAAGAGATTGGGTCAGTACATTATGGGACGATGAGTTGAACGAGGATATGAACTTACAAGCTTGAAATGAACCACCAGTTGAGAAACCAGGTTTGAGTGAATTGGTGGTTTGAACTTGTTTGATTGATTGGTTGGTTGATGAAGTGCTGCTGAGCTGGTATTTCTTTTGAATGGTCATCAAAAGCTTAAGTACTACTTACTCAAAACTGACAGTCGACGTTAAGGGGTTACTTAAATACTTAAAAACTCAATCAACAAACATTCAAATTTTAACATTCATCTGGATGCTTTCACCCTTTTGGTATTTTAGATTCAGGAGTACTCATCAAGTTGAACAAACCGCTTACTATATCTCTCATAAACAATCCATATATCATCTCGAATGGCCTCAATCCATGCAGTTTTATAGAAAAACAAATTATTACCCATCTTCAATGACCTACGTACCTGTCATGTGTTTCTGAGAAGATGGAAGGATTTGGATGAAGAGCTGTGACGCGTTCAGCTTAAGGCTATCAATCAACTTTTGCTTCATTCATACTACTCTTGATCACATGTTCGATTGTTTGCATGTGACGAATACGCCTGAATACGCATCAATAAGAAGAAAGCTACAGGATGATAGCAAATATAATTTGGTTTCCGTGTGATCGGAAATCTGAGTGGAAAATTCTTTACTTCCTCTTAGACTTGTGTACGTTGTCGATGAGAGAGGGCAGCTAAGAAATTATTGTCCTACTCATCTAGCGTATGGCTGAGATTTGTTGAATCATCTGTTAATCGGATAGAATGCAGAGTTCTCGGAGAATGAGACCCAGTACAAAATACTTCAGTCGAAACTCGCAAACCAGCCACCTCAAACCGAACAATTTCTTACAAGCAATGTTGCTAATCCCATGAGACTTATACTTCTTTGATGCATAACTGAGCTGTACCAAAATACCAGATATGGCCATTCCGGCTCAAGGCAGATATCGAAGCTTTGGAATATCTTGCCTTCTTTTTGGATTTCTTGAGACAAGAAGATTGATCACAGTAATCTCAATCATTTTGACTCGTGAATCTAATCACCAAAAGTCGATTTTGCGTTAATATGTAGGCTCGCTGAGCTGCCTGTAGACCTCTCACTACTTCGTCAACATCGTATTCAGTAAAGTGGAGTGTACAACTTTAAGTAAATCTGAAGCAGAATGCGCCCTCAGAACTTCCTTTTCCAGTCTCAGCTTGAAGGGCTGGTACAAATGCGAGATACCGGACTGGACGCTGAGAGTAAATCAATCCATTCAAGTTGATTAGCTTTGAGGATATAAACGCTTTTTTACACCACCAAAAATGCCACAAGAAACTCCCACTCAGAACCTCAGAAGATCACATGACTTTTAAGACATACACAATTCAAAACTTCCTCTTCCAGTTCCAGTTTGGAAGTTTGGTACAAATGTGAGATACCGGACTGGACGCTGAGATTAATCTATTCAAGTTGATTAGCCTTGAAGATATAAACGCTTTTTTACACCACCAAAATTTCCACAAGAAACTCCCACTCAGAACCTCAGAAGATCCCACGAATCTTAAATTTCTCCAAAATAATGGGAAGCTCTTTTAAGACATACATGTTTTTCCCAGTCTTTGTTCAAAGTAGGCCTTAAAAGTAAGATTGAGGATTTTAAGACTTTATCAGTTTTTTCTTCAAAACACAATATCAGACTATCAAATCCAAAAAGTTGGATAAGAAAGTCTTAAGTTGTCAAGAAAAGCTTTGTGAGTTTATTTCTCGTTGAGTAATTTGTTAGATCTTATCGATAACATTCATTGTCAAAAAATTCATCTATTCAATCTACTCAATCGGTATGGAACGGCTCGCAACGTGACAGAAAACCAAGAAAACCTAAGTACCTTGATGTTTAGGACCTCTCCATCCTTTCCAGTTATTATAAACAGGACTATCCCTTATGGGTTCTTGGTGGGGTCGGATGCGAGACAGTCGTATCTTGATAATGAGCAAATCTCTCATGTTCATCATACCTATTTCTCTACTGTTAGATGGATCGATCCGTTCTGAAAATTATATGATGCCTCCAATCAACGATCAAAGCTTCTCTGGCTGATAAGAGGAGATAGTGAATGTGGGGAATCCAATTGTGTTCGGCGACTTGGATATGAAATTCATATATAATTATATATAACTACAATAAGCAAATTCTTTCCTGCCTCCGCACGTGTTGTTTTCGTAATGTGGTCTTGAATGCTCTTGAATGATAAGTTTGACTGAGAATCATGTACAAACCAAGTAACAAGACCAATTCTCAGTGAAAGCGAGGTGTATTCATTTGTATACTCCAATAAACAACTCCTTACACCTGTCGATCCCAACTCCCTGTTACTGTGGAATGCTTCAGGGCCAGCCATCTGATAGAGAATTATAGCGATCAAGCAACACGGATCCCAGATAGGAACCATTTACTGCCAAGAAGCTTAAGCCTTGCCAAAGTAAAAGGCATCGTGCTTTTGGCGCGATCTGCTATTGTGAATTGTTCGGTGAATCTCCTCGTGAATATAAAGCTGAATAAAGTGCGTTCTATGATATGAATGAGAAGCATCAAAAAAGCAGAAAATAGCATAGATTTTGAGCCTAGCTACGCGACATTTAATTAGGTCTGAGAAATCAACAAAAAGCTATCAGGCCTGTGAAAATTGGAGATGATTTTGATGATCAGAACATGAGTTGAGTTTGAAGATTGAGAGAGAAATATACCTTTGTATGTCTTTCCTCGAGAGAGTCGCCAGAAAAGTCCCAGCTGCAGGCAGAGGCAGGTAGTACTAGAACGCTCGGCCAATCGTCATCGCAGTATTATGAAAGGTACACGATCCATATGAGTCAATGGAAACGTTAGTCAAATAATCCATTCGGGCTTGAGCGAAGCCTGTTATTCAATCTCTGAACTCAAAGAGTTTGAATTATCAAAATACATCAATAGAGTGGATTAAAGCAAGCTGGAGGTGGGTATCAACATTTGAGGTAGAGAAGGGGCAACTATATCGTTATCTTTCTATCCGACATGGACTGAACAGCTCGCGTCAATCAGTACATCTGTATTTTTTCGCGCGTATATCAGCTTTATGATCCAAACAAAGATAATGACTCACGTGACGTGCGTTGAAGCTGATCCGGCAACTCAGTATCTGAGCCATACAAATACCGTTTGTTTTCCAGAGCGATCCGAATTTCACTTCATCACCCGTACCACCAGCTTCCGATTCCATTCCTCAAATCCCCCTTCAACCTTTCCTTACCTTTCACTTCTGATCTAACTTAACCAACTTCTCTGATTCCAGTCATGCCTCTCCCCCAGTTTAACAAGATCTCCTTTCGTGATAGTCTTCGCGCTTTTCCAGTCTATTTTACAGTTTCCGTCTGTCTTCACATGATCTTATTAAACTTTGGTCATCTTGAACTTCACCCTGTCACGAACTTTTTCACCGTCTTCATCTTGGATATTATCTTTACCATCTTCACCTTTCCCATTCTCTACTTTCTCTACTCTTCCTTCATCAGACTCTTATCTTGGATGATGAATCGTCGCTCTCTTAACCAAGATTTCGACATTCCTCTTCATAGATTTTATCCTGCGATCTCTCCACCTATTGCTTGTTTATGGGCTCCTTTGATCAACGTTACTCGTCCTACTGAACCTCCTTTGACCAACCTACCACCACCTTTTCCCAAACAGGACCCCGACTTTCTTCGTACTATCTATGAACCACGTCTCAGAGAATATGTACCCCCGATTCAATTATTCGAGGTCTCTGAATCATCTGAAGTCGAAGTATCGAGGCCCTTTGTTCTATTCGACCTCTCAGACACTACCTCTTCACCATGTATGTCTCCTTCTCCTTCTCCTTGTCTTTCCCTTCCTCTTCTCATTTGATCATTTACTGATTTGTTTTATTTTGCTGTATTTCAATTACAGCTCAATTTTGTGCGGTGAATGTAGATGAAAACATCTTGGGCTTTGTTCCATTGAATTGAGGTGAGCACTTCTTCCCTTTCATGCTTATGAGTTGCGTACTGATTTCTTTCCATTTCTTCATCATGTATAGCTTGATCTTAACTATTTCACATCCTCTCATTTTCTCTATTCCTCCATGTCTCTGATCTTTGGACATGTGAATTAGCGGATCCTTCTGTCTTTGCTCGTTCACTTATGGAAGAGCAAGATGACTACGCCGTATGTCCTGGTGGTGAAGGAATGCACCAGGATGATAAAATTGTAATCAATTTCTCTCTAGATGAATAATTTGTTAACTGCATTATCAACTTCTTCTCGTACACTCCTTGTCTTTATTATTTTATGTAAAGCAGTTTTCATCCTCTCTCAACTATCAATTGTTTCTGAAAAAAATATACGTGTATTGGTTTTTTTGTTATTCATTTTGGGTCTGCTTTATTGATAACTCATTATTGTTTGTTACGGATAAATTGGAGGCATGACTGTTTTTTAATACTGTCTGCATTTCATATCTGCTGTTTGTCTAGGATATCAGTCAAAACAAAGATGATCACTCATACTTGATCTTTGGTGATAAATAAGTTGTCAACCAATGGGTCCAGAGAAAACAGAAACAGAATTGAATTGGATCTTTGTGCAATATAATGAGATATTTCTTTGAGGCAGTAGAAGAAAGTGCAATATTGTGTTTTTCTCACAAAACAAAATCACAAGAGAGGTTTCTTACAAATAAGTTGAAAAAATGATGACTTATGCACACAAATTTCATTCTAAGGTCATAATGAAATAGGAGATTTAAGCTTTCAAAGAATGTTTGAAGTAATTTCCTTTTTCAGATTTTTATGTTACAAAAATGTAAAAAGATGCATTGCATAAGTTCTTAAAAAAAGCAGCAGCATTCCGATCCAAATGGTATTATATAATCAATCTATCTTAGGCCAGGTTAGTGGGATCTAAAAAATACGTGATAGAGTGAATTCAGATTGGTCCAGAGCCTTACAAAGGTTTAAACCTTTGTAGGTTGATCTAGATATGAAAATTATTAGAATAGCTGTGGATCTTGGCTAGATCAAAGAAAGTAGATGTTTCTGTACGTCTCTATCAAAGCGGGGAGTAAGGTCAGAGAAGGGTTTTGAGTGGTCGGAACAAGAAGTCCTTATGTAATGGTTCAGGAAGGGAAGCGTACAAAAGCAGTTCCTAAGCATTGTACTTGGTCTCCTGATCCGCGCTGATCAGGTGGAAATGAGTATTACATCTAAGTTTGAATCATCCGTCCGTTAAGCTATGAAGGAACAACTGGTAGAGATTGATGAGTCGAGGCCGGGAGAAGATTTGACCAAGCTCAAATTGCTCAGTAAACCTCCACTATAGTGTTTTTGAATCTTGGCACATACATCACTTTAATACCAACTCCGTGTGTTAACATCTGTGATACTATATACTTAAAAAGTAAGCGTACTATTTTGCTTGGATTATGTGAACTGAAAAGGTGGCATACTGATTCAGAGTCTGTTAAAATTACTACTCGTGTGGGTTTACAAGGCAAAGTTATGTCGATAGACAAAAGTACAGCTACGAGCTTGGTCCAGTACAAGTCGCGAGCAGGAGAAGGTAGTTTTGAACTCCAAGCCTCATTCGATAGGGGTCGCCAGATTAATGAATATCTTGGTTTGATTTGTAAGGTAGCCGAAGATAAACATAGCCAAGGGTTGTGGAGTTGTCATATAAACTTCACCAATCATCTTCTCACTCACATAATTTGGTTATAAATCACTCTCCCCCAGTTCTCATGTTTGAAATCGATTGCCTTCATCTCAAATATATGCCTTGTACTACTGGAGTAAAATAAAATCAAACATCCACTCAAAACAAAGAATGTACATTATATTGTTATACAAAATTGATCAAGTTCCTTCAGTAGTCTTGAAAATCTAGTACATAAAACGCTCATCAAAGCAAAAACATAATCGATCCTTACCAAAACACTTCGAAGTTGAAGATGAAAGATGGTCTCAGTAGTAAAAAATCAATGGAACCACATCTTCAATAAATTGATTCACTTCATTAAATTCGACTATGAACCTTTGCTATCAATCGGGATTCAAGGTAAAATAAATCAAGATTCCCATTTAGCTTTTTTGATTCGATTCATTGATTCTTGATCTAATTTAATTTGATTAAGATCTCTCTTAGGTGTGAAATGTTGATTAGAAGTTGATTTAGAATGAAGATGATTGGAATTTAGAGGAGATTGATTTGAATGGATCGAATTAAATTCAGTTTTCTTTAATAATCGTTTTCCAGCTGGACTTAAAATCTCTTCTCTTTTAGGTTTCCATCCTCCGATTTTAGACGTTGAATTGACTTCATGTTGAGATTTACTAGATCTCAATCTTTCACGACTTTGATCTTTCAAAACCGTTTTCCTTAATTGACTTATATGTGTACCACCTAATCCGTTACCAAACTTTTCTCGTAGACTTTTACTTGCTTGTCTTGCCATACCCATAGCTAATTCTTCACGTCTAGGGGTCTTTGGAATTTTGAATGGTCCTTCTTCTCTTAGTTCTTCTTCTTGTGGATTTAATGAGATTGGTGTTGACATAATTTCACCCCATGTCATTAGTTCGTCCAGTTGATTGGATTCTTTCAATTTATTCGCATTTGGTGTTGGCATTGAAGATACAAATCCAAAACCATTGACCCGAGGTGACATTGATTCAGGAGCTGGATCTGATGTTTGAAAAAAATCAAAAACTTCCTTAGACCCGCGCTTTGGAAGATTTCAAAGATGAAAAATTACTCACATGGTGTACCATTGATTGCAGCAGCGATATGACTTCGAGTAGGACTGAGAGTAGTCATGCTCATACGACTCGAGGATTTCGCTTGCTTCAGAGCGTCTTCTATCAAATTATCGTTTGACATACGTGTGTTGGCATAGTTGATACCTTTGGGCCCACCTAGTGAAACTGTCGGTGCGGCTGGAAAGGGAGGTGGTGGCATAGATTGATGAGACGAGATGTTTGCGTCAGGCGCAAACATGAGGGCGTTGCGAGTGACATGCGGCCAAGCGTTCGGATTCTTGACTGGTTGAGCATTAGGTGCAACTGCTAAATCGATGGCAGTGACTGCTCTCCCTTTTCCCTTGGATTGACGAGATTCATGATCAGGATCAGTGCTAGTGATTTGCTGGTCAGAAGGAGAATTTGGTGCCGAATTTGGTGTATCGAGGATTAGCTTGGTTGAATCTCGATCTTCAGCTTCAATAGCAAGTCGCTCATCCTTAGTGATAACATTTTCAATCATTTTCCTTTCACCAGGTCTACCACTCATACCCTCAATCAATCCTACGCCTTTTCCACCTTCAGTCATTTTCGAAATCATTTCAATCAAGTGTTCTCGTTTCAAGGTAGCTTCAAGGAGTTTAGCGTTTTGTTTATTAGATGATTCGAATGCCCATGTATATTTAAGTCGTTTAAGTTGATTAGCATTATTGAGGATTTCTGAAAAAGATGAATTATCTTCTGAAGTGTAACGTGCACAAAAGTCATCGAGTGAAAGATTTGAATCATAATTCTTGGGTTTTAATGGGGTTTGTTGATGAGCAGAGTAAGAGATTGGAGTCGCGATAGGAGTGTCTCCACATTGAGTTCCCAAAGGAGTCATTCCCGGTATACCAGCTGAGAAAGGGAGATTCAAATATCAATAAAAGTACAATAATTTTGGATGTTAGATTGATTGATAAATTCTTACATGATGGACCGGGTCTTGGTGTTGGACCGTCGTCTTCCCAGCGATGTGATCTGATAGGATTAGTATTTGACCAACTCATCCCTTTGACATGATTGATTTGACGGTCAGTAAGATCCATTGAAGTTGAATTAGTAGATTGTAAAAGTGTAAGTTTTCGACGACGTTCATCTTGCCATTTTTGACGTTCTTTATCAAATTGATCCAATGACGGAAAGAAATCGCGTTTGATGATAGATGAAAGTGCTTCGATATATTCATCTTCTTCCAAAACTCTTTGTTGTTTAAGTGAGATGGTAGGTGCAGATTGAAGATGACCGTGTATTGGATGATATGTAACAGGTTGAAGTCCTCTACTTTTATCACCTGGTAATAAGATTGGAGTCGATGGCGGTTTTAATTTAATGAGATCTCTTTTTGTCGGTGTGGCTTGATTTGAATTAGATTCTGGCATGTTGACGATGAGGTTGAGGATGGTGTTGATGATGGTGATTGGATTTGTTGAAGGTCGAAATGAGAAATCATGAGGACTCAATTCATACAAGTTGGATTTAACTCTCAAAATTTAAAGATTAAATCTCAAGTCACTTAAGAGTTAAGATCAGACCTAGTCCAAGGGTCTCCCGATTCTGCGAGGTCTTGGAACAGACCCCCGATGTCGATTTTTAGATGTAGGGGGTCAAAAAAAGAACGTTGCACAGCGGTCTACCTCTAGTCGAGGGTCAACCCTTGATTGAGTGATATGAGCATGCTTATACTCAATCACCCAGTTTGATTCTTGAGTCAAACATGTTCTGTATTCATCACGTGGAAGCATCTGCACGTGATGTCGAGACCCCGCCTAGCCCTCGCAGATGTGGAGGGCCCCTCTCAAAATCTGAAGACTCTTGATGTCTCACCCCCGATAATGCGAGGTCCGCTGGAGCGTTTTTTTGCAATTTGACCCCCCACATTGTCGAGAGCCCGCAGAATCGGGAGACCGCTGGGGATGCTCTTAATATCCGGCAGGCACTCGATCGTTTCATCACATTCACCAATCTCTCAATTTACAAGTTCACCACATGTCCTCAGAGCAAAAAATTGGCAGTTGGTATTGTAGCTTGACCGCTGTGAGCAAGGCAAAGAAGCAGTTTAGAGGAAAACGCTATGGAAAAAACTCTTGGATTTTCTCGGATTGAGTCATGATTCAATGACACACAAAGCACTCAGGTATGAGGGGACAACTTATTCGTCCGCGATACAAATGTGGTGACTCAAACGATGGTTTTTGGTTATCTTTGAATTCATTGTGTATAATCATGATAGACAGCCATTGTGATTGTAGATTCAATCAACTGGTACAAGTGGGATTCATATTCCCTTCAACATTTTGTGCTTTGGGCGCCTTCATACATAGTATCATGTCATGTTTTAACATTGGTAGAATTTATAAACAAAATACCATGCTTCATCAAATGCTGGGATGTATAGACACAAAATTCGATTGGAACCATGCGCGCATTGATGGAAGTGATAAATGTTCATCTTGGAATTGATAAATATGAGCAGGAGTTTTTAAGAAACTTGAGAAAAGTCCCCCAAGTAGTGAGGGATATTACGACGTTGGACTCCAATTTCAGGATGTCCATTTCCGATGGGTGATCTATCTGTGACAACGCCTTCAAGTTCTCTGAGTGAAAAGGATCAATAACAGATTGAAGCTTCAGCATTCTGTCACATATATGGAATGGGAAATTCAAACAGAACATCAAGGATGGATACTAACTCAAGTGCAAACTCTACGAAATTGGTAGCTGTGGTTGTCAATTGTGAATAAATGAATTGAATGACTGTGGATTCACAAAAAAATGGAATCATTGAGGAATTCGGTCAATCATGATTGTGTCAGGGGAAGGAGATACGTACGTGACAATACTACACAAGCGGATAGGAGGATTGAAATGATTTGTGTGTACATTTTGAGATAATTTCAAGGAAGTTGGAAGTACAGAATGTTGAAGGTTCTTGGAGAATTTTCGGTGCAGAAGTGAAATGGAAAGGAGACTCCCTCTCATGCTTTTGGGAGCAGTGTGAGGTGGTCGAATGTCGAAATGTGGTCAAGCAACAATGGTCTGATTAGATTCCCATTTTACAGCTAGTCAATGTGTGACAAATGCGCGAGGTTTGGTGGCCTAGAACCCTCTAAATTGACTGACCAAGATAAATGAAACTTTTGTATTGATGCTGAACAAGAAACACTGGTGAAAGCTGCTTGCATACTGCCCAGTCCAAATCAACCAATGACGCTAGTGACCCAAACCAACAACCAATGAGATTCTGCTGGCCCGTCTTCGCCTCACGATTTGGGAAGTGGATGCGAGTACAATTTCTGGTCCCGTTTGTGCGGAACGTGGAGCAGGTTGAAGTGATCGAGTCCTTGGAAACCAAGTTGACTTGCAAAATGTTTGATCAGCGATTGAGATTTGTGTCATTTTTCCTGACATTGGGTCTGAAGTTGCTACAGCACAATCTTAACTTTAATCCCTTCTCACTTTGTCCATCATACTCTTTCTCATTTCTCACTTTTTTCGCTTCAGGCAAGTTCACACTGCGTCTACGAATAATTGTTTCTCAGCCTCAAGGTGGGGCAAAGTTTCTTTTTTAAATAAATGCTTATGTCGTTCTCCTAGAAGGCTTCCTGAACGTTTTGGATGATAACCATCTCATGGACATGGTTGGATTACTAGGAGCCGAGTGCTCTTGTCGTCAAGAAGATTCTAAGATGCAAGTTGATGATACAATTTGATTTTTTCGTCACGGTAAAGCTCTGGAAGCTCTGGAGGGGTCTATTATCGTGTTGAATTGCAGCTCCAGATTTGTGATGCAAAGAGGGGAACAGTGTGCTATCCTTGGTTTTTGACCATCGTGATCTGGCGATTTTTCAAGTCTATCAGCATGTCGAGTAATCAACTAATTCATAGGGGCGATAGTTCCGACCCATGGTGATCAACCAAAGCCCCTCGCGTCTCCCGAATTCTCAAGCTCCCAGACATCTGCATCTTTATGTCTTCTGGATTCAAGGCCCTTTTCAGTTTCAGGTACCTCATTAGCTTTTCACTTGAGCTCCCTATGTTTACTTGGTTCGGTCCACAGAAGTCTCTTCAAGACAGATTTACGAGGTGTCTTCCTCAAGGTCTCATGATGGTCAATAATGCCAAGGATTTGGTTTCAGTCGACTGACTCGCCAGGTGCACCGATAGGAGGCCGGGAAGTTACTCGTGATCCCAAACTCAAGTTGCCCTTTTGGAGCCTGGTTTTGTCAAAGTTCAGGATGTTGACCAGCTATATGTGCAGTCCGATTACTACAGTGTTTTGACCCATATATCATATGCAATTGACATATATATATATATCTACAGGCTATTTACTCACACTTCCGCTCCCAAAAATCCTCATACTCACAGTGCATGAATCGTGCCTATCATCTATCCCCTTATAACCTGTCCTTCCATATCCTAGGAATTTGTCACACGTAACTTTTCAAGATGGCTTGCCTTCACAACGCAAACCAGAATTTCAAGCCTTTATTCCATTCTTCCAGGTGGTGTGTCAGTGTGCATTACTTCATCCGACTTTTTCTCACTTGAATCTCGCTCTTCAAACCTTGCAGCGTGATCTGTTCAATCACTCTTCCTCTTCAATACTACAAAGCTCCACTGGAATTGAGAACCCAGAAAACTTTGGATTGGCAAGAATGTCAATTTATACAGCTGTGTCAGTGAAGTCTTGAAGTTCATTTGATTTTGTATTTATATTTTTTTGAATCATGAGCTCTACTCCCATTTTCAGATTTCACCATGTGTGTGGTGTGGTATCACATTGACGCGCAGGTATGATAGGGATTCAATACTGATACTGACTCGACTTAGTCTCCAAAGAGGCCTCATGAAAGAGGTAAGCTTCCTCTTTGTGAACGGTGTGGTTGAGACTCTTGAGCCCTGTTTTTGACAAAGTATGTGGAAAATATACGCCCTCCCTCAAATAATATATCATTGAGCAAATCACATAAAAGGAAGGTCAGGAAGATAGAAAGAGGAAGTGCAAAAATCTACGGCATCTCTTCTATCACTTCTGCATTGCCGGACCTATGTAAACTTAAACTTTGTTAGTGCGGGACTTTGTCAAGTTTAAAACTCTGATCACATCCCAATGCCCATGCTATGTCCCATTGCACATGTCAACTTGACAACTTTCAAGCAAACTCTGCGTCCTGAATGGTGAGAAATGCATCCTTTAGTTAGTCTTGAAGATCTCTTTGTGATGTCATGAGGAGAACGGTGTTCGTGCTCTCAAACTGTATGTGGTGGTCAGAATCCAGATACTATCCAATATCCTCTTGATCAGTCTTGACTCTTGAACTCTCGATGCTGTTTTAAAGAGTCACTTGATCTCAATCTACAAAACCTTGCAGCAACAGACTGTCGATGATCATCCCCACCTTTGACCAGATTCTCTGGTATGTATCATATAAACGTATGCTAGGATATGCAAGACAACTTTTGGCAAGTCACTTGATATTTGCATACCTAGGTTTTGAAAGATGATTGGTTGTGTTCGTATGATTCTGATGTGAAACTTTTCTTGACTGCTGTTGTGGTTGTGAATGACAAGAGAATCAAGTTGTGGGAAGGTATAGCAATCTATAAGCATAGTTCAAGTTGTATGCTACAGTAAGATTTTAAGTACGTAACCCTTGATTACCTGAGAAATGGTTTTTGAAATGTCAGGTTACGGAATTTGGTTACTTGATTTGATTTCCTTCAACACTTCAACTTCCTTCGTAGCTTTCTCTCAGGACCATTCGCACTCAACAGGCTGGGTCGAAGCAGTTTTTTTTAATTTATCAAAAACTCTTGACCCTTGACCTTGGTGCCTGGTTGAATTAAAGTCCTACATTGTCATTGCCGAACGTCCGAACGTGTCAATTCCGACCTGACGGAAAGGCGTTTGGTGTCGCTTTTTTTTTCTCGTCCATCGAACGATCATTGCATGAATGATTAAGAAATTATAAAAAGATGATGTGGTCTTCGTTCTTCATCCTCATTGAACAATTCTTCATACATTCTAATCTTTCCTCAAATCATTTCATATCACATTGAAAAAAGCGATATATCTTTGAAATCATCGGTTTGAAATTCAAGGCCTTAAAATCATTCGAAACTCTGCCTATATAATCTTCTCATATCCTCTTCATTCGGTAGTGGTCTTGATAAATCAAACTCGTTCAAACTCGATCGAAGTCATCAACACTGCCCTCATCACCTCCGACTCGAATTATCGCTTGCTGATTTCTGAATTTCATCCTTGTCAGTCTTTCTTCCTCTTATATTTACGATCAAATGAATACCTATTGATGTTTTGGCCTCGTTCACATCTCTCATCATATCTCACTTCTTGGATACCTCAGAGATACCATGGCCCAGTTTCAACCTTTGACGGATACCTCTATGCCGTACTTTCTCAACAATCGAACGACATCAAGCTCGTCTCTCAAAACCCGCCAACGTGAAACATACGAAGCTTCTCATGATGTTGTGTCTCGACCTCTGGCACCTCAACTCCAAATCACCTTGGCTGACGGTGATTCTGATGATGAGGACCATCTACGAGGTCGCCGCCCATCTTTAACACCGGACAACTCATACCCGGCCTGTGAGCTTCCCTTCTCGTCTGAGCCAGCTCTCGAATCCGAGCTAGAAACCGAACTTCCTCCTCTCAAGAAGTTGAGATCGTCGCGGAATGGTGGGGTCAGCGAAGATGGAGTAGACTCTGGCTTCTGCCCTGAAACCGTTCGAGGGATCCTGACTAAGAAGGACCACAGTTCCCAAAGTTCACCCGAAGGTTCGGGTCATTCTAGCCCAGTTCAAATGTCGCCCATTTCTCAAGAGCTTAGCTCATTACCGCTGTCAAGAGCTCATACTGTTAACAGTCGCCCTGACCCTCGACCCACTTCTCGTCGAAATTCATCATGTCAATCTGCCGTCTCATCCCTCAATTCGAACAAGACTGTCCGCTTTGCAACAGAAAAGAGCCCTCCAACTTGTAATCCATTGTGTCAGAGACACCAGCCATCAGATCATCCTGCCTCAAGATGTTCATGTCATCTCGAAAACCCAGTGGCCACCGTCATGTATTTGACACATTCTGCAAAGGTGTATGATCGGACTTCGATTGTTGTTGAAAAAAGCCTACGTCTCCCTCCTCGTCAAGATGCCTCTGAATGTGGACGATGGGTCCAACGTTGCGAGTCATCCACAGCAGTTGAGGGTCGTGAAAGGTCTAGGCTAGGCTCGTGTAGTCCTACGCCAAATTTCAACAGGTACATTCATAGCTGGATCGTTTGTATCTATCATCCGGTTCAGCGTTGATTCTTACCTTTCTTTGTAGTGACGACACGGCAAGTCGGAATAAGGACTGCGAAGCATGGAGAGATAAGAACCATGCTATCGCTAGCAATGTTCCTGAAGGTGTAAATAAGGACACCTTTCCTAGAAGTCCTCCGTCGACATCCTTCCCATCTATGGCTACCCACACATCTGGCCTCAATTTACAACAGTTCAGGAAACAAGAACAATTTGAGGAAGATCTGGATGACGAGGATGAAGAAGCTCGATCTGAGACGGAGGTGGATGACGACGATGAAGTAGATTGTAGTGTTGGAACCTGGTCACAAGGACAAGTGTTTAAAGATGATGATATCCTAGGTGGATTTTAGAAACTCTACCCCATAGAATAAAATGTTTTCTTCTTCCTTTCTATTTCTTGTCTTTGTAGATCTGTTGCTGTGACAACGATTAATGTCAACTTGTTACAAAGAACAGATTTTTTTATACATAGTTGTAATTTGGACGCTATAAGTTTCTTCTTTTCTTTGGAGAGAGTTTGATTCTTTTTTCTTTTTTTTTGAACATTAATTTTGCAGACGCTATTTTTTTTGGTTTGCTTAACATTAGAGATATATGAATGAAACAAAGTCATCCTTATTACACCTTTTTCTAGTTGGAAGAGCCCTGTTACAATTGCATGTACCATCAGTTTTCCCCCTCCATTGGACCCATGGCTTTGTTTGCTAGGTCCAGCTTGTAATTTCTAGATAGTTGAGTAAAGGTGTACAATTTATGATAAAAATTGATAAACCTCACTTGATATCTCTTTGGGTTCTTGTTCCCATCTGTCATTAAGTTGTGTCAAACTTATTTGACCTTCTCCGCTAAAAATTCGGTGGTGCACATCAGATCTTATGTATGCTCTGACAGACTCTGACCGCCCGATGTCCCGCCTGATGTCTGAGACCCGGGCGGGCTTAAGATCCATTGGTCTTATGGAAGAAAGTGAGCGTTCATGAAAATTAAATCATACACTTTAAAAATGATTTCGTACTCCTCATAAACTTATAACCAGAGTTTTTCGGACTTAGCAAACTCAGATTTATAGCGTGCCGTCACGTATTGGCCAACATGAATATTACAACATAGTTCCACCTTGGCAATAACGGAGGGGAACTAAACCTCACAACCTTCATACATAGTTAAGCTTAATACATAGTGACTTTTGCCGACAAAGGCTGACACAACACCTGAAGCGCTCCGCGGCGCTCCGCTTTTTGGACAAATTTGTGAGGCGGTGCGGTTTGCCGCTACAGATGAGACCCGCTCTCGATCCGCTTTAAGAAGACACCCGCTACATGCGTAATGCAGCGCGGCGCCAATTGGAGCCGCTCTCGCTCCGCTTCATCAGTTTTGGGGGCAAGGGAGCGGTATGAGGCGATTTTTTGCTCACATTTTTTGTTTTAAGTATTCGCACTGCAATAAAGATGTAAGTACAATATGATAGAAAAATAAGATCATGTACTATATGAAATGTGACTAGAAAGATAAGTAAGCAAGAGAAGTCGATAAAGTAAGGAGATAGGCAGTAGCACAAGAAAAAAAATAGAAAGAATGAAGTAAGAAAATATATAATCAATAAGTGACAGGCTAAAGTAAAATACAAGTAAAAGGATCTAAAGATAAGATAAAATAAAATGGGAATACCATGATCAGTTTAATCAAGAAATGAGTTGAGGTTGGTGGAGGAGTCGTATTGTTTATAGTCCTGAGAAGCGTCAAATAACAGACCGAGTAGATGATTTCTGGAAAATCAATACCAAGTGACAAGACTCCCTCGATTTAGGGGCTGAGGATACCGTTGGAATCCTGGCAACAGTGGCAATTGAAATGTGCAATTGAAATCAAATCTGATTCGTGTTTTACTTAGTCTTTACAGCTTTACAAATCAGTGTCTGTTTTGTTGGCTCGAGATTGGACTACAAGCACGTTCTATTTCAACAAACAAACAAATCAAAGTCAACTTCAATTCATGACATATCTTGCCCAATCTTTGTAAGACTTCAAGACCGATTTTACATACCAACATAACTTTCTAAAACAGTTGGTGGAGGTTCATTTCCTGATAAAAGTACCCCTGCACGGTACATGATTTCAGTTTGCTTGTGAATTTAAAGGTTTGTGATTTCTTGAAGGTAAGTTTTAATCAAAAGCTTGAAAATTGAGTTATTTTGAAGACCAATATTGGAGTTAGAAAATGAGATTGAAGTTGATGAGAGTTGATTTGGCAGTGATTGCTCGATGATTATCCAGACCAGAAGCCGAAAGAAAACATTGCTTGATGAGAAATGATAATTACAATTGAGATTGAGTGATAGATTTAAATTTGATTGAAGTAGACCAAAGCTTAAGTTGAGCAAGATTAAAAGAATGGTTTGAAGACCAAAGTAAATTTAAAATCAAATGTCTAGCTAGCAAAGGTAATAATCTAAAGATTGATAAACAACTTGAAGGTGATTCGTATAATCGAGAAAGAGTCTGTTCTGGTAAATCGTGTAAGAATTCGGATACACTTGAACTGATTTCGATTTTATTGGTCTTTTCCATCTTTCAATATTGAATGAAGCTTTTAAAGTGAATGGAGCTTTGTAAATCGAATCGAATGAAGTTTGCGTGATTGACAAAACCGGATGAGTATGATCATCCAAACCACACGTATCTGAGTCTGTGGGATCCTGAACGATGGTCTGATAGTGTTCTGATGGTGGAAGCCAACCGCTGCATACCGCTCTGAGAGGTGCCTGCGGGGCGTAAATTTGACCCGCCACGCTAATTTCCCAATCCGCTTCGTACATAATCTCAGAGGTAGAGCGGTGGCGGATCGGTTGGTAGATGAGCACCCAAAACTTTGTAGCGACGGCGGAGCGGACCGCCCCGCCCCCGCTCCGCATCCGCTTTTTGCAGCGGGTCGCTTCAAGTGTTGGCTGACAGTCCTTGTTGAGGTCAAATGTGATATGATGGGCAGGAAGTTCCAAAGAGGCTATGCTTTCTTCACAAGAAAAATAACTGGTCGTTCAAATGAAAAACGCTGGTTATCCGATCTCCTATTTTGGACAGTGTGGGCAAAAAAAATCGCGATCAACTCGTACGGAAGGCAAACCCCTTTTGCCTTGTCTTGGGCTTGACGAGGTCATGTCATTGCCCTGATGTCTTCGAGGGTTAGTTTGTGAGATCCAGGTGTTTGCTTGGTGGCAACCACCGGTTTAAGTTCTCAAAAGCTTGCAAATCAGCTTTGCGAGCTCGATCTAGTGGAAAACTCAAACCGATCATTTGGATTCGTGTGAATTTTTCATTTTTATGTACTCATCAACCTGTGATGGTGATTGCGACCAATTCTAACAAAGAATATCACAGGCATTACAAAACTTGACAAAGGCCCAGTCGACAAATCTCCGCAGGTTTCCAATGTTGAATGTGCCACGAGTATGCCAAGGTGAGTATCCTAAAGCTGCGCCTTCACATCCCTGCTGGCTCTTGTGATACACCAGGCTTCCATAGACTCAAGCTGCCTCTCGCTCCTTGTTCAGGTCCCCTATTTACTTGCGCCGCGCTAAGAAAAGGTGAGACGATGAAGTATATATTTCAGTTGCAATGTATGAGACTGCCTGATATTAATACTTCGATAAGTCAGTGAACCCTGTCCCATGGTTGTTGCCAGGGGCCGGGCTCTCCTCACACTTTCCAAGTTGTCTATATATTTTAATCATCACAAACTGCTCATTGAGCCCCAATTCCTCATTCTGTCAATTAGGTATCTTTCCAATCTCGTTTTCGATTCTTTGCATCTATATCATCATCATGTTATCCTTCCAATCTCCTCAAAAATTTGTCATCATATTGATGGCTATATGCATCACACACGTTGCTTTCACAAAAGCGGATACTGTCAAATGTACAGCTGGTTATGCTCCAGGTTCAGGTTCAACAACTGCAAGTTCAAGTAAGTAAAAATAGTTAATTTTCTTTCTCAAACCAACCTAATTCATTCCAACTTTGAAAAGCATGCCAAGATTCGCGTAATTACTCTTGGAACTGCCCGGCAAAACAGTGCTCAAGAGACAGTCAGTTTTGATCTTCTCTTTCAAACAGCTTGTTTTTTCCCTATACGTTCTCTAAACGCATTTTATCCACTTATGATGCTTGTAGATAAACAATTTGCACCTATGAAGGGCTGTACGCATCAAAATATTCCTGGTAACAGCGACCAACAGTGTGTGCGATATACATTCAGAAATGGACAGTATGGTTAGTAACCTTTCCCCAGTTCTTCTATTGATTGTTGAGATCCAGTTGTCATTCTGAAAATTCTTTATACTTTCATTTTACGATGATTTTATAGATTGTTGGAATTCTGGTACACCTCAATCATACTCTTGTCCTTACACACTCACGAATGTACCCTTCATAAGTAAGTAATCATTGATACCTTTCTATGTCTCTTGAATCAAGTTTTGTTCATTCAGCGTACGTATTTCTTTTCGGATCAGCTTGTTCAGGATGTAACCTCCCAAATATGGGAAAACGCAATTAGATATCTCTCGCATCCTAAAGTTGTATATATACCGCTGGACCTGAGGCCGGATGGCTTCGATATGACTTGGTATAGAAGTATCACCACATTCAATCTGTTAGCATGACAAACATATAAAATCTCTTCCTCCTCATGTGTATAAGTAACGAATAAGCATTTGTTATCTTTGTATCTGCAACGCCACAAATCGCTGCAAGAATAACATTGTTATTCCCAATGACGAAGCTCTTGAGCTCCACTCACACCCCCTGCGCGCCCTCGATATCCTGGAGTTCTTTCTTCTTGATGTTTAAAAAAAATTCGTCTCCTTGGTATAACACTGAGAAAACAAGTTACAAAAAAACTAGATGTCTATCTGGGCTGGTTAGATTTTTACTTTGTGCTCAAATTCATCTCCTACCTCCGCTATTTGTGTCCATTTGAGATACCTTAAATTTGTGCTGGAGAACTCCAAGTTATTTTTTTGATTGCTAAAAAACCTTTGCTGATGGCCACTGTTCATCAAGATCGTCTTCTGATCTCCAGTCAGTATACTCCATCGGTTTCAATTATCTTTACAGTACCTTCATTAGTTTTATTCTATTTATTCCAAGAAAAGAAAAATCTCTCCAATGGTTGCCAAGGAGTGCAATATGTTTACAAAAGCTTCCATTTTTATTACTTGATTATGTAAGATATGTAAGATAGATGTATACAATTTTTGACAAGTTGATCAAAGGACTGATTCAAGTTGGAATGAATGTAATCCTTTGAGATCAAATGTTAACAATTGATGAAAGTCTATGTAGAATATTGAGGTGTCTTTAAATCATCAGCTTTGAGCATTCGAATAGGATTTTTACCAGTTTGCTGTAGGACTTGATTCACAACGTTATAGATCTCCTGATTTAATTTACCTCTTGAACCTTTTATTTCATTATCACCAAGCCAAGTGATGACAGGAAGTCCGTTTTTTGATATTTTTGTAAGTTCTTCATGCTCTTTTAACAAGTCTTCTATTTCATTTAAATGTCTGATAAGTAAATTATAATTTTCTTCTTCTAAACCTTCTTGTTTTCCTACTTTTAGAATTGATCTTAATTTTGAGTCCGCATTAGTCATTGACATTCTTGCAATAGCAATATCGAAAGCTGTTTTCGATAAGGGAACTTGAGACACCGATTCGAGCAACCCAGGAATAAATTGTCAGATTACGCCCAGCTATTCTCACCCTATAAGATATAGCTTACCTTCAGATTTCATCTCTGGATTTTGACTGATCGCAGAGATTAAAGCTATCTGTTCAGGAGGAAATCTCATGATCTCCTTCTCAACGTTCACCTTTGCGTTCTCAATCGCATAGAAACCTCGAGATAGATGTTCACCAATCGTCTTTCCTAACATAATGATATGTTCAATTATCCTATCGACTTCAATCGGTTCTTTTGTACCCGGAAGTACGATTTGACGAGGGATTCCTACACTTTCTCTAGCCTTACGTAAACCATCACTCAACCATACTAGTTGAAGTGGAACGAATCGGCCAATGATTGACAATACAATCATTCGATTCACTGTCACTGGATCCTCAATCCCTTCTAAAATCAAACTAAATGTCAGACTTCGATCAAAATCATAAGCAAAAAGTACGTGATCAATTTACCTAAAGGTGTATTTTTTTCTAAATCCCTTGCTGATAATTTGAAGAAGATTTCCATGTACAAGAGGAATCAGATTTCTAGCTTGCACAAACCAAGAAACAGAGTGGTGATATACAAATGTAAAAAGACTGACGAGAATTAGCTTCGCGGACCAAAACACGCATGACATCTGTGACATGGAATATTGAGATCAATTCATCAAAGACACATTCAAGAAAGATTGGTCAAACATATGCGGTGAGAGAAGCTTGAACATACCTTTTTCAGCTCCTTCATAATCTTGCATTTGTGAAAGTCTTTTCATTAACCTACTTTCAAGGCCATTTCCAAAGCCCAAACTTGGAGGTTTTGGTGAAATTGATGTAATTTTTTCAAGTTCAGAAAGATAAGAGTTTAAATTTGTTGTTGGGTCTGAAATTTTTGAATTCGAATCTAATAAACTTTTTTCAAGTTCTATTCTTACTCTTCGTCTTGGGACTAAATTTTCAATAATCTTTGGTTTGGTTATAGCCTCTTCTTCTTTTCCTTTGAGACAGAAATCGAAGACAATGATTTGTGTTCAGTTGACGTATTTCTTCTCAAGATGAAAGAACATTGTAAGTCGATAGTGATACAATGGCAAGGTTGTCTCTTACCTATAATGGAAGGTGTATCAGGTATCTTTGCAACCCGTTCATATTTTGATGTTCTTAGAGGTACTAAAACATGTAAATGTGACCATCAGAAAAAGAAATCATTTCCACATTTCAAATACCAAAAGGACTAACATAATCTTATCAATCTATCTATCATCATCCTCGCCCATGAACTTTGACTTGTATCTTTGCCCGAGAATCCTAAAAGGTAGTCAAATTTGATTTCCAGAGTTCATTCAGATCAGAATACCTCCAAATGATCATCAAACATCTTTTAATTAAATTCACTCACGCAACAATCCAAGAGGCCATATTCTAATCTTTTGTCTTGATCCAGTGAACGCTTTTTGCCCAACGTCAATTTCTTTGAATAGGTTGATAGAGTCAGTCGTCTCAAGTCTAGTACTAGCAGAACCGACAAATAAAAGTAAAGCTATAAATGAGATCTTCATAGTACAATGACTATACATTTTCAAGAAATTTTAATCCGGGAAATGCTTAGTTATCGGAAAACAAACCAGAGAAGGTTTCATAGATTCAATCATTGAATTTATCTATATCAACTTATAGTAGTTAAACATGGTAAAAACCCACAAGAAAAATTTCCTAGTGAAACAAAGAAAAAATGATTTCATCTCATTTTCAAGTAGTCTGACACATTGATTTGTTAATCTAGATTCCTTTAATCGATAGTCAACTTTCAGCAGGATGTCCTAAAGATCAAATGAAGATCCTATTAAGGGAGAATTCTCCATAGTCCAGAAAAACACATGTTTATGTTTTGGAATAAAGGTATGGAATCACGTTGGGACAAATAAACACGTTTCATCTATAACATGAACATCATTCACGAGCTTCAATTGACCAACTCAACAACTTTTACCGGAGCCATAGAGAGGTGGTAACGGGCGCCACAGAGGGGAAACATCGGAAGCACCCGGGTTCCGAGGCGAAGGAACGGAGGCAGCCGAGGGGAAGCAACGGAGCCTCACAAAAGCAGATGACAGATCCTTCGAAACATCTTTCAAGTGCACTAATTCGTTTGCTCAAAGCCATCGTTTCAGGTCTTTTTTTGAAAATATAACTAGCACTCATGGTCTTCATTCATAATACCTGCAGGGTTCTCGTTTGCTTGGATGAGGACCGCAACAAGTATATATGTGGGCTATAGTGTCCGACTTCTGGGAATACTAGATCGACTCATCTTTGAATCAAAAAAGATTCAGAACCAGACGTTACTTGACTGCAAACTCTTTCGTGTGTCAAGGATTTCACTTTCCTCTGTACCCTTTGGGCATTTACCTTCAGCGGTTTTTCTTGAGACCTGTAGGGTTTTTTCTTGCTTTCATGATAACCTATGATAACCGCAGATCTTGACTCATCTTTTGAATCCAAAATGAAAAATCAAAGCTCGAGACTTGTAAAAGGAAAAGTTGAAGTAAGATTCTTGGCCTTGGTGATTCAAGATCGACCTATGATTGAAACCGCTTGATAAGCTTATTGGTCAAGGTTCTTGAGATGAATTGCCGATCAGTTTCAAGAAGATTTGAGTTCATTCGAGCAAATCTGTCACTTCATAAGGTAGATCGCATTTTTTTGGAAATCGGATTTTGATTTTTTGTGAACCGTATGGACGACGTAGATCCTGGTAGATCTGTCTGGACATTCTGGACTCTGAATGATGAAATGTTTGACCTTTCTTTTAGAAAGTGCCTCCTGAAGTAATGCAACGACCCGACCCGTAACATCCGGGTGAACCCTCGGTACATCAGATCCGAACCGGCTTTGAGTGAAACTGGGCGGGCTTACCTGGTCTGGCCCACTCATATGGACAGAGGGCAGGTTTTGATGATATCATCCATGAATTTTGCAAAAGATAACATCATATTTTCAAATAATCACATTTGAATAGGCTTATGGCCATCCCAGGCTTTTGGTAAGGCATTTGAAGTAAATACATCATAACTTTTAAGAATTGAAGGCAATTTGTTGTCAATCTCATGGGTCTTTAGGGTCTTAGCAGCTCTTGTCAAGCTGGGCTGCCGGACTGGGTCAACCAATTTTTTCATTATACTGGCCCCTAGCAGGATCAGCACTTCTGGGTACCAGGTCAGTGCATTACTCCTGAGGCGTAGGCAATCAGGCACTGTAACCATTTTTGCTCCACTATGGTAAATACCCCTGTGGGGAAAAGGACATACACTGGCTGTTCAAAGTATTACAAATATTTGAGCTTTGGATACATGTAGTGGTGCTAAAGGAGGGTGTGAATTACAAAGAATAATTAGATAGGGGATGTTGTTCTTGATTGACTCTGAAGTTGTTTCTCAGCACTATCAAGTACATTTGAAACCAGTTTCTAGTGCTGAATTTGTATACAAGGAAGGCAAAGTAGTGAGAGCAGACTGCTTGGTGGTGAATCTTGTAGGTAGGAAGAAAGGGCTGAAAATTAGACACAAGACATGTATATTTAAAATGACACCGCTTTGATTGAACAAGAACTGAAGCACTGAAAAGCACTGAGCTCCATTGTTTACCATGGCTGCAGGAATAAGATAATCTGACTGAAGACCAGAAGCATTGGCACCTATTATGAGGTTTCAGGTCAAACTTATTTTGTGAAAATCATAAAAAACCAGACAAATTTTTTACAACAGTGGATGATTAGAAACTTATCTTGATCTCATATAGAGATGCTGTGAAATATATGAGCGCAAATTAGCAAACTTGCCTGTTTTAGTATCCGGACAGTGCTGCACCAGATGATCTGCAATTGGGAGCAAATCTGACTTTGAAGTTTGTACTGTGTTTTTTCTTTCTTTACCAAATCCATCAAACCAAATTTGTCTCCAATCATTTTATTGATCATCTGAATCCTGCTTATCTCACCTTTGTTTCCAAGCCTGTTTAGGGCGCGTTCACTTAAGGGATTTCTGACCAGAAATCACATTCTGTAAAATTTTTAATGCAAAAATGAAACATACACCACCAAATAGACACTTTAAATTTTGCAGAATGTGATTTCTCACCAGAAATTGCTTAAGTGAACGCGCCCTTAGTGATTTGCCACTTGAACACCAAAGTCAAGCTTGAAAGAAATCAAGATTATGGTCAATCTTGAAAGAAATGACGATTGAAGTTGAGCTTAAAATTGAAAGAGTAAATTCAAGAGAAAACTTGGAAGAGGATTTAACTCCATGCCTGTTTCCTATGAGCACATCAATGTGCTCATACAGAGAGCTGTGTAATAAATTAAAACAGTTTTCGTTCAGTTCTATCTCCATAATACAAGAATTCTTTGTAGACAAGGACGTCAGAACCTACTGTTTTTTGATTGTCCGTTAGATGTTGGAAGAAAGGATTTGTAGTGCCTTTATTTCTCAGTGGTGGGTCATCTTCACACCCCTTTGAAACTTGGATAGTGTCTTGGCATGACAAGAGATCATGGCAATAAGTTATAAATTTACATTGGCTAACTCTTGTTCCTGAACTTCACAGGTGATCTTGTTGCCACAACTTTCATCCATCTACTTGAGATGATACTCCATGCCTTACTGGCTGAACTCCAACATGGAAATAGTATGGTTTTGAAGGTGAGACCATCTCCATATTTTCTTTGCAGGTACAGTCTTTTATTGGAGTCGATCCTCTTTGTTAACCTGATTCAAAACACTAGTTGTGAATTCCAATTTTCATCCTTGAGCCATCACAATTGATTTACTGATTCTTTGAACTGTGATTTTGGTTGCAAACCTGAAATGCCACAAAGAAAAGTGTACAATGTCTTGTTGAGGTTATGAGTATTGACTTACAAATTGAACTACAAATTGTGGCAAGCAAGCTCAACATAAAATATCTTAGACTTGAACCTCCCTGATGACTGTTTCAGACTGGTGGAAGAGCTTAATAAACATAAATACTTTTGAGTGGTGTGCGTTTAGCATCCCTGTTGTCAGAAACAGGGTTGAGCTGACTCAACCAAACCACCTTTGTCTGATAGACATCTCACTTGGACAAAGGGCAGCTGGTAAGTGTATCCAAAGATATATTCAAAGGGTTTATCATCCCTCCACAAGATGTCTCTTGTGTGAACGTGCTCATGGAGGACGGACATGTTGTAAGAGAACTAAAACTGAATGTTGAAACAATGGAGGTAAAGAGGTAAAGAAGTGGTGAAGTCAAGAGACAATTTTGGTCATGAAAATCAAGACCTGATCTTGACTTGTCTTTTTCAATTGGTCAGCCATAAAAATTAACACAAAAGTGCTCCAACTTGTCCTGATTGTTTTAATCTTGCACAAATATGCAGGTGTCCCAATTTTTTTCAATTTACAATACATTTTGCAACATCAGACAGCTTGCTGTACTGCAAAATACCATAACAATTTTGACTTGAAACCCCCTATTTTAGTCCAGATTTAAGATTGCTTATACACTTCCAGCATCAAAGAGGTTCTCAGATGGGAACATGGGTCCTAAGGACCAGATTCCACTTCTGTTACTGTTGAACAGCTTCATGAATATCTCCCAAGTAGCAATTGTGATATCCATGTAGTCAATTTTCCAAAATGTTTAACTCAATCTGAACAAAGTTACAGAATGTATTCCATGCGATTTAATCATGCAGATGAGCAGATGACTGAGCAGAGCTGTATGTAGTCCTTTATCAAGAATTTACTCACATGTTTACACATATGCACTGTGAACATCATTCAACTTCCCCAAGTTGGAAAAGGAAAATGATTAATAGTACAGTTTGTAATAAATTAAGAGGATCCAACACTGCACACCTGAGCCACAACACTCATACTACATATGTGCAGCAAGCTGATTAAATAGTTGTCTATCATGTACATACAGGTCTGCTCAGTTTTTTGCCCATCAGAATAAATAAATCACATGTTATACCACATGTAACTTTTTTGACTTTTAAAAAATTGTCCCAAAAATTCACTACATAGAATTCTGTAGCTGCTCAGGCAATATTGTTGAAGCTATTTTTTAGTAACAGAAAGGGTGTTACATGCAGTTGAGTTGATACAATTACACCAAAACGTTGAGTCAGTAGTCAATCTTTTGAATGCTTTTGTCAATCTGAAAAAAGTTACAGCATGTATTACCTATGAATAACTTATCCTGATGAGCAGATAACTGAGCAGAACTGTATGTACATGATAACCACCTATTCCCTGAGCCGGTTACACATATGTAGTGTGGGTGTTATGGCTCAGGTGCGGAGTGATAGATTGTTTTATGACAAATCATACTCCCAATCATTTTTTCCTGCCCACTTGGTGAAGTTTGATAAAGTTTGCAGTGATGTAGCATATGCTTTGTGGCTCAGATATGTAGTCAAAGATGATTCAATGACCCATCCTACTCTCAATCATGTTCCCAACCTAGGGCCCCGTTTGGTTGCAATTATTTTACTGTGGTATTTGGACCATCACAGTAAAATAATCGCAAATCAAATTTGGGTGTTTGGTAACCCAAATTTAGAGATTATCGTACCACATTAGGGCGGTTCAAGAAGGGTTTGGCGAACCCCCTCGACGCAACCTGGCGAACCCACATTTTAAGGTCGGCCAGTCCTTAAAATCCCGGTTCGCACATTGCCGAACACCTTAAATTTACGATTTAAGTGCTCTTAAATCCAGGGTCAAACCAACCGTTTTTTTCATTCTGGTTCCAACAGTTGTTTTTTTGCGATTCTCTTTCCTTTATTAAATGGGAAAGTTTTTTTTGTGGTTTAATGCATGATTTGTTATATCATCACTTATATCTCGCAGAGCTTTACCCCTTTGAAATTTGATATCACATCCTCCAAATAGCCTCTCACTCAGCCATCTCCTCCATTTGATCTTCCGTTTTCCAACATGCCTCGTATTTCCGAACGAGTTACTGTGATTCGCGATTTGATCAATTTATGTGTGGTTTCCCACATCGCCTCCCCATGGTTCATCTGCCAGGTAAGTTCAAATTATGGAGTGAAGATAATGAATTTGAACTCATTCTTGATGCCTAAAATTCCACAGCTACGATCAGCAACAATGTACTTATCACTGAATGGAGCTTAGGTAGTTATACCAGTATCTATGTCTTGGTTGACGCTTGTGATTCGATCCGACAAAGTGCATCTGCTAGTCGGAATAGGGTTTTCGTCGTGGAGACGCAAGGTGGAGAATCTGGATATATTGCTCTACTCGGTGGTCTTGCTGTTTGTCATTTTCTTTATTATCCGGATCTCTTGGTAAATAGGTATAGAATTATAGTTGAGCTCATGTTTCTTCTTGATCTACACATAGGCTGGGGCCAATATTGTTTATACGCCTGAGCTACCTGTCACACTCACCCAACTGAGTGCTGATGTCGAATTCTTCAAGAAGAGATTCAGAGCTGATCCGAAGGGTAAATCTCAAGGAAGGCTTCTTGTCCGATCCGACAAATCCTCTAGTACCTATACCAACGAAGTAGTCACGAAGATCTTGAAGGAAGAAGGTGATAAACTATTTGATGCACAACAAGTCAGTCTTGGACACGTTTTACAGGGTGGAGTACCTTCACCAAGCGATCGAACTCGAGCAGTGGGTATGTCAATCAAATGTATTCAATTCCTTGAAAGACATTGTATAAAAGTAGTAGCCTGTAATAAGGAAGTCGAAACCCCAACAGAAGGAAGGAATACAGGTTTACCAACAGTAGAGAAATCAAGTGGAGAAGAAGAAAACTTTGGAACGATTGTGATCACTAGAAGTCAAATTCGAATAGCTGGATTAAAAGAAATGGTAGAAGGAGCTGACCTAAATAAAAGAAGAGGTAAACAAACTTGGTGGTGGGAATTAAAGAAAGTAGTGGAAATCATGAGTGGTAGATTACAAGATGGATTTGAATAAAAGATTTAAAAAGTCAATTTATCATTTCTAAAAGCAAAACAAAAAGAGAAAGTTTGTATGAATCACTTGTAGTATATCTCATGCTAGTTTCAAAAGTGTAGTTGATCTAGAGTTTTTTGCAATCAAGAAAAAGTTTCAAAAGAAATTGATTATATAAACTGAATCAAGTTCCAAAACCTCACAGAAGCCTAGGTGTAATCTGATGTACACCAAAGTGATTAAAAGTTGGCGAGATCTAACATTTTTCATCCTCAAATGTTTTCTTTTTCAAGAATCTAGAGATGTACTAGACAAAACAGATCCCCAATGTTCTATCAAAAGAAAGATTTATGATGGAGTTTACTAAATCAAATCGCTTTGTAGTTTCTTCCACTACAACATGCTCATCTCAGAGTTCACAACATTGATTGTAAACCCGACTTGAATTGAAAGTTGCTATAAAAAAAGGTATGTAGAATCATCAAGATCTCAAACATGGTAAGGATTTCAAATAAATTTGTCTATTTTGTATTTCTCAATGAAGAAACCGAAGAGAAGAAAAAAATCCATTTCTCTCCTTCAAGAAAAATCAAAAACCAAACCCACAATCTTGATTCGAAAATCTCAAATTTTCAACAAGAAATTTTTCAATCTAAATATTGTATATTCACCAATCCAAGAAAAAAAATCTTAGAACAGAAATGCATGAAAAAAGATAATTCCAAAAAAACAATTTGCTTTACAATTGGGAAAGTTTTGTTGATCAAGTCCGTAATACATTAATAACAAAAAAACGAAAAAAAAACATTAAATAAAATCAAAGAAAAACGAGTTACAAAAAACAAAGAAAGGAAGAAAGGAAAGAAAACCCAATTTTCAAGACCTATAAGAAGAAAAAAACGATCTGGTAATTAACAAATCGTGTGTACAGAAAATTTGTTAATGAAAGAGGCAAGGGTTGGAAAAAAAAGAAAAATCAGGGACAGCGCTCGAAAAAAGGAAAATGGAAGCAATCTTGTTTTTCGTTTGTTGTACCTGATACAACACTTTTTTTCAAAAATCACAGGTACAGTCAATTCCATAAAGAATGAAATGTTCAAAATTCGAAAAGACCTGATGGTCCGTGCACCGCGCAGCACCGGCCACATCTGATCAGGCCACGCTGTCAAATAAGTGCTCACGCACTCGATGATCTGCAGATGATTGTTTCTTCTAGTTGTCTTTTTTTTAGTCTTTGTTTTTTGAAAGTTTTTTTTTCTGGTCTTGTTTTTCTTTGTTGGGGGTTGGGGTTGACCCTCCCATCCATTCTGAATCACCTGCCGAGTCGCCCTTTTCCGATTGTTTGTTTCCAACCGGGTTTCCTGTGTTTCCGTCTTTCCGACCATTCCATTCGACCCCCAAAGATGGGATTTCAACGATATTCCGAGGATCTCAAGCTCCTGGCCACTCGATTGGCCATGGAGCGTGTTCCTCTGGCCGAAATCAACATTCGATTAAGATCCAACATATCCCCAGTTTCGCTATACCGATGGAAAAATTGCTTACGCAACACGAACAGCGTCATCAGAGACCCAGCAACCTACGAGACACGAGGTCGACCCTTTCTTTTGTCCGACGAGAACCTTGCCGTACTTCACGACCTTGTGAACGATCGCCCCGCGGTCTACTTGGACGAGTTGCAAATAGAGATTGCTGCTTTAACAGGGTTGACTATCTCTCGTGCAACCCTCTGTCGTGAACTTCATCAGCGTCTAGGACTATCTCTGTTAGTCACGCGAGGAGTGCATCCGAATCAATCCCCGGTAGAGCGGACCGATTTTATGTTTCGGGTGGCAGGAATACCACCCGAATACCTGGTTTTTATTGGTACGTGATTGATTCACATTTCCTCGAGCGAGTCCATATTACTAACCCTCTTTCACTGGTAGATGAAAGCGGAGTTGTCGGTCGTGATGCTTCTCGAACCCACAGTTGGGCCAAGCGAGGAACTCACACAATTCGCCAGCACCGATACACCGAACGTAGTCATTGGACCCTCCTCCCTGCCGTTAGCGAGGAGGGAATGATTGCAGGAGTTGTTCTAGAGGGGCCGGTCCGCAGGATCGATGTGGAGCTATTCTTGAAGAATGACTTGGTAAGGCATCCTTCTAATTCCCCTTCACGTTAGTTTATTCATGTTTTCTCATTTTGGGTTGGGCCACATAAACATTTCATTCTAGCTCCCGGTGATGAACCGATACCCTGGGCCAAACTCGGTGCTAGTCATGGACAATGCACGAGTTCATCATGGTGGAAGAATCTTGGACCTTTGCAACCAGGCTGGAATCCTGGTCATCTATCTCCCAGCGTATTCACCTGACATGAACCCCATCGAGAACGCTTTTCACTGTACCAAGTCTTGGTTGAAAAGAGAAGATCGATGGCTTTTCGAGGCCGACAAGGCCGAATACCTCCTCCTTTTGGCCGCCAGAGTCATGACTCGGCAGTTGATGCAACCCCTCATTGCACACGCGGGTTACACCACTCGGCACTATTGGGTTAGATACAATGCTAGGTTTGATCATTAGACCCATTCCCTCTCGAATGCCTTTCAAGTAATTTGGTTGTTGTTTGCTTTGAATAGCGCTTTCGAATAGCTCAGTTTGTCCTCTTAATAGCGATTGTTGTGCTATGTTATGAAAGTTTGAATTTGTCGTGTTTTGTTCTCAGTTCCGTTATCTTTCAATGATTTTGAACGGCATTCAGTTGTCTCTTGTGTGCTTACCGATTACTTGTGTTGTCCATTTGTCAAATCGATCCTTAATCACGCTCAGATGATCTCCTATACTTTGTGATGTGTCCGAGCTGCCCAAATGAAATGCTAAGATGGCTCTTGATTGGTTTATCATAATGAGTATCAACTGCAGTGGTCCCATGTTCTCTAACGTACACCTGACATTGAGTCACCTTTCCGCTGACTCAATGTGAAGACCACCACATTGAGTCAATTGGGCAAAGTGATTCGCGATTTCAATAATCGACGAGTCACTTTCCAAAGCATGTGACCTTTCGAAATGCCGTCAATTCCCATATCTCACAGTGCTCACCAAAAAAGGGGGAGAGCCAATAGCTAGCTCGCTCGCATTTGGAAGGTTTGGTTGTGATCAGAGGCATGATTATGATTTCACATTGCCACATGAGACATCTTTCAGCCAGCAAACAGAGGAATTGCACACATAACTAACACAAAACTAACACAAAACTAACAAAAAACCAGGGAAACAATCGATGGTAATCATAGTAGTATTTTATCGGGAGGCAGTATGATTTTTTTTAAACAAAAAAGGTGAAACACTAATACAAAAACATTTGATTAGCAACATACTGGTTTCTTTTTTGAGTGGAAATCGAATCACATGAGACATTTTGTTATTGGTTCAACCATAGAAATTTTTGATGTTTGTCAAACTACATATCGAGGCGTTTTTGGAGTAGGAAAGAGAAGGAAACTATTTTTTGAAATTTTTAGAAGGCATCACTTTGATGTCACAGTCATCTTCGGAATCCGGAACGACATAAGCCATGTCTCGCAGCTTGCTTTCTTCAACATCAACAAGATGATGGTAGAAACGGCGAGCACACTCCATCAACGCCCAACCAGTCCCAAATGGGATTCCCCATCGCTCCATATCGCGCGCGTCGTATGAACCCGGGAATAAGAAAGGATAAAAATTTTGAATCCCATGGTCTTCAAACGCCTCGATGACAAGGTCCTCCTCATTTTCAGGCACGTCAGCAAATGCCACAAAATCGTGGATGGTCGAAAGGTACGCTAGTCTCTTTGCCTCCTGACGATCTACCTCCACATCCATATCCTGCATCTCAGCATAACCCCAGGGAGTCCCAGGCGATCGTGCCACTTTGAGTTCTTGATTCGATGTCTTTGAACGCTTAGAGGACATGATTGGGTTCGTCGTTACGAGGTCCCGCTTGATGGAATGCCACTTGAAGGCTGGATCTTTTGGTGGTGGGTTATCCTTGGTAACCCCGTCAATTCCAGCGGCCTAGATTGTTTGACATACGTCAACCAAAGTGATTACAAGGGAGAAGGGCGAAAAAACTACATACTATAGCTTTCGCCCACTTGACCATGTGTTCAAAGGACAAGGTCATGATTCGGGTAGGTTGAAGCTTATCGACTAGGCAATATCCCTCCTTGCAGGTGTTGCCAAGCGCCTTATGATGAGCAATCAAGTCTGTCAAGATCTGTTTCTGTTTGGGAACCGGGTCAGAATGATCGAGCTCGTCTTGCGAAGTCGTGCGCCCATGTTGAACGACGTTTCGAGCGGCCAAAACTGCGTGAGCCAAAGATCGTTTCTAAAAACAAAAAGAGAAATGATCAAAGTTGATATGGGAGAGATGAGTGAAAGGGTGAGTGGACCACACGTACCTCGTTTTCTTGTTGAGCAGCTTTGGAAGGATTTTTCATCGTCAACATGAGGCCGTTTTCGGAGGTCGCATTCTTCACCACCGCCGCAAAAAAGTCTTGCAGTTCCTTATCGGTGGAGGCCTTCATTTCCTTACCCTTGCCATAAGTTGAATGGCCAACGATGTAAATGGCGAGGGAGAGCTGATTGTTGGCGTCGGCAGTTTGAAAGAGGGCCGACATGCCACCGGACCGGTCATCGGTGACCTTGTCAGCAATGGTGAACAGGTGAGATTTGAGACGGTCCAAGGAAGAATTCGTAACCTCGATTTGTTGCTGCGTTATGGGCAACTTTTGCGGAATCCAACGAGGCTTATGATTAGCCTTGACGGGCCCCGAGCTTGCTTCCGGAGTGAACAAACCAAAAGTGATCATGAAATCGCACAGCTTCTGCATGACCACTTCGGGTTGAGCCACTAGGCAGACAGATAGATGTCAGTACACAAAATCAAGGAGACAACTGGTCAGTATCACTTACCAGGTGCAATGAATGGAGTAGGTCCTCTGACGGGGGATTTTTCTTTAACCGGAGAAGAGTGTCTGTAATCGAATTCGACCGGGGTGGCACTACTGGAACCTTCATAACCTTCATCAGCCAAATACTTTTTGGCCATCTTCATAAATTCGGAATCGGACCTGCAAATCAACGATCAGAATCAGTAAGTTGGATTTCCTTGGATTTTCAATTCGAAGACGTACTGGGCACTAATATCAGAAACATTCGACATTTCTAACGGGTTATCAAGGATGAAGGTTGAATTGGAGACGCTGAGAAATAGCGGGATGAATATGAAAGCTTCGACAGGGAATGAAGAATGATCGGATTGGTCTGAGTTGATTGAAGAGACTGTGGATATGGGTGTTCCAGAAAAATGACCAGATTTAGCGCGGCCGGAGTTCAATCGTGGTGGGCTACCCCATTGCGCCATCGAGGGTCCTCTCATCAGATTGGAGATGTCGTACGATGCAAAGGACTCGAGGTTCGTGAAGGTTGAAGAAAATTGAGGTTCGTGACCGTTGTTGAGATTTGAGAAGACGGGATCTGGACAGGATCTGATTGTTAATGCTGATCCTGGTGGTTCGAAGCTCGTCTGGCTCCACGGTGCACGGACCATCAGGTCTTTTCGAATTTTGAACATTTCATTCTTTATGGAATTGACTACAAGATTTAAAAATTTTAAGGACGCTGAAGTGTTCGCAAAATGGTGAACCACCTCTAAAGGTGGATCACGAACCTAAAATTTTACTTATAATTTTAAGTTCCCGAACGCAACTTAAAATTTAAGATAGGGCTGTAAAAGGCCTTCTTGAACCGCCCTATTATTTGGTCGATAATCTCACAATCTCAAGGTAAAAGTACAAACTCCTTTTTGCCAATTATTTTCAATTACCTCCGATTATTTCCGTATGTGAGCAGGGGACTTGTCAAATTTTGACCTCTTCCCGTAATACAATCAAGGAAATCATTTTATCAACATCATCACCTCATTGATCTCGTTACTTCATTGATCACTCCACCTGGTGAATCATCAAAATCATCACCTTTTGATATCATCACTTCAACAATATCATCGTGTCTTCAAATCGTTGTTTGTTAATTTCAAGTTATCAACATCATCATCTTTTAATATCTTCACTCTTTTTAACCCAACAAGTAAAGGGAGTGAAACTTGAATGATGCAAATAATGAGAATAATGAGGATGATGAGGATAACAAGATTGATGAGAAAGATGAAAACATTGTGGATCGAGCTCGATTCAAGAATGATAAAGTAGAAATAAAATGTAATTACATGAAACTTTCAATGATCTAATGACCTGTTTTAATGAAAGCCGAGATAGATAAATTGACTGAGTAAACAAGAGATTTGATGAACCTGATTGATGAAGAATCAATAATGAGAATTTTAAAGAGTTGAATAAAAAATTGTTAGTTGTCACAAGCGCTGTAATTTGGCTTTGGTTGTGAGTTGCCAAACAATGATTCTTAAAAACCACCGTTTATTTTCGTACTCCGATTAAATTGTGAGTTGGAACCTTTCCTGCATTATTTGCTCATTTCCTGTGGTACACTTTTACCGTAGTACACCAAAATCAATCGCAACCAAACGGGGCCTAGGTCTCTTTCCCACCAAGGACCCAGTTCATTGCTGGTAGTGTAATTAATGCTTCAAGAAGCTTCTTTGGCAAGGGTTTGTGATCTAGCCACTTGATATCCTAGGTACTAAAGTTATTCTTCTCAAGCTTTGTTCACACTTTAATCACCATCACAAAACCTGCAAGGGTGGGAGTGAAGGTGAAGCCTTATAAGGTGCTTGGCAAATCTCTTTTTACAAACTTATTAGCTATTTTCTCTACAATCTCCTTAGCTTTGATACCAAACTCATCTGCACAACCCTCATGATGACTCTTGCATTTACAAAACCTACAGCTAGATATACATGTTATGTTTGGATGTTTCTGTTTAATCTAAAAGTAAAGCTATCATGGGTGGGCAGTTGCACAATAGCCTCAAGTTTTTGATAACAGACTAAATAGTTATCTAAAATGATTGATACCCAAAGACAAACCAAGATCTTTATCAATTCTCATGCACTCTTCTTTTATAATTTCATACAAGAACCTTTCATTTGTTTCAAGGTCTGTAACTATGCACAAGAAATCAGAAAAAACTTTCAAATGTAAAATTGAAATAAGGATCACAGAAAATATTCTTTATAAACCTTTAAAATTTTGAGATTGATAAAAGATCAATTTTTTCATTTTCATTGACCCAAACTTCAAATCATTTTGAACCTTTTATAATCACTTCAAAAAAAAAATTAGATTGGTATATTTGTAAGTTAACCAAAGAAAACCAAAAAAAAATGTAAAAGATTATTTCAAATTCATCAAATTCACTATACATGTATATTATCTTTAGTAATCCTACTTTGATTTAAATCTGTAACACACACACACATATAAACAGAGAAAGAAAGAGAAGAACAAGTATACAATTGCAAAACAACCAACAGAAAAAAAAACTACAACATACAACGCTTTGCTCACACAAACAGAATATAAAAGAGAAAGATACAAAAAGAAAAGATCAAAATCATCAAACTTAATTTAATCCAAACCCTTCACTTTCATTCATAGCAATCCAAAGTTTTTCCGAAACCTTTTGAACCGTTAAAAGATCAGGTAAAACCAATTGATTAAAACAAGTATGAGAAGAAGGTAATCGATTGAGATCAAATTCTCTTGAAATCTTAAACTTCAATCCACACGTTGGAATCCGATCAGTACCTGTAATAAAACTTAAGATTTTCTTTTCTTCAGATCGATTTAAACTTTTCATATAACTCCAAAATGATAGAATCGTTAAATCTTTAGATTGATAATTTTCATATTCCGTTCTACTTGATAATTCATCTACATCTAATCTTTCTCTTGATCCACTTACTACTAATTCGATTTCTTCTGGTTGAAATAAACTTAATGCATTTCCTGCTGCTACTGCATCAAATCCTTCTTTAAAGGCCTTTTGGTCCCAAAGTTCATGATAATAATTGAAATCGGATTATTAGTAAGCTAAATGGGAAATTTCAATCTGAAATATAAGAAAAGATAAAACTAACCATAAATTGATGTTGAACAGATACATTCAACAAGAAATCCACATAAAGTTCCACAAATTCTTCTCGATTAGATCCAGTGACCGGAATATTAGATCCATTAGGAACCAAAGGAACTTCAATCACAGTTCCATCAAAATCTTCATATTCACCTACCATCGATCTACAAAAGATTTCTTCTACCATCTCAGGATGATCCCATTCAAGTAATTGTCTTAACCCACGTGCCGTAAGAGGTCTCATGATTTCTAAATCAGCTAAACTAACTTGATTTTGTCCTAGCAATTTCTTATAACAAACTAATGGTAAACTGATATCTAATGTAGCTCGATTATAGATCGCTAATCCAATCACCGTTCCAATCAATCGAAACTCTCCTAATTCTTGTGAAGCTGGATTGAACCAAAGTTGATTACTATCTGGATCATGTATAAACATTCCATATTCGGGTCCAACTAGTTGTCGGATAAGTAACAAGAACCACTCCTTTTTCAATCTGTATATTCATAAATACATCAACATTTCAGAGATCAATGATTCTCCAAACACGGAATTCCGAATAAGGTGAAACTTATGACTGACCCTCCACCATCTAATCCATCTTCTCCCACAAAACAAATCTTCAACAACTTTTTCAATTCACCACGAGAACGTTCAATCTGTCTCAAAGAATCTTCCACCAAATGATTCCTTCTAATATTCAATTGTAAAACTGGCGCCAAAGCTCTACGACCTAAAAGACCATCCACTAAAGCTTGTCGAGCTTCTGCCCCCATTTGTCTTTTACCTTCATGCGTTAACATTGTGATCTTAGCTCCAATACTTAACAAACAAGGGTATCCACATAATGCATAAGATGAAGCTGAAGTTTCCCATCTTTCGAAATCAGCTGCTAGGTCAATCGAACCTAATAAATCAATAGCCGTGTTGTAGAAATTATCTACTTTGATCTTTTTACATCTTAAGTTTGCTGCAACTGTCAAAACAGAAAGGAAATCTCAGTTTTCAGCTCTCTCGGATTCATATTCCAAAACAAAGATTTACATAAGAGTGACATCACTCTACTAGCAGCCGTGATCATCCAATCAGACGCATATCGTGGAGTAACAGCTTCGAGAAGACTAGGATTGATCGGTATTGAATGAGACAACCGATCACCGATCAAGACGTTTGTTTCGGTCACCTTTTCAATAAAAGCTTCAGAAGGATATTCCGAATGCTTGTAAAGCCAAACCAAGTGATGATGTAAGCGATTGGGTAAAGTAGATATACTATCACGGAAGTCAATCAATTATAAGTTTGAAAAATCTTGATCTCATGTCTGGACTTTTGACTCACAGGCCCAGTAATCTTGAAGTATTCGAGAACCGAGTGGTGATAGGTAAGCCACTATGAGCCAAGATGCCTATACACTGCGTTTGTAGAAAATCACAAGTTAATGTTTCTAATCTAGATGATGATACTGAAGAAGATTGCAAACCTCAAAGAGAACAGCAGCCCAAGCCCAATCTGAGGTATTAGGCATACTTTGATCCGATGATCCATTGTGAAGACCAGATGAGACAATTGACCAAATCTGATATCCTGGCCTAGAAAGGAATCGTGAAAGTTGAGCTGAGAGCAATTCACGACCACCAGGTCCATTGACAATAGCCAAAAAGAAAGCTCTAGCAAGCTTAATTCTAAGACCTATTGGGGATGAAACTTGATCTTGTTCTGATGATGATGATGACGATGATGATGGTCTATGTGCAAAAGCTGAAGAGATGTTCAGTGTAGAATCAAAGAGAGCCGTCAGACTTTCAGCAGCAAGACTATAAAACTTTTCAATCAAATCTGGAGTCTCATGTGATTGAATGAAATGTTTTGGATCTTGATCGAATGCCTTGAGTTGATGAGGTGAAAGAGCAAGTGATCGTAAAGTCCGAACAAGGTCAGATGTGATAGTAAATTCGATTGATGGATTTCCAGTAGAAGCAGAAGGAAATAGATCCCATTGAATTGAACAAGTTGGACATTGAATAAAGGTAGAATTGGTATGATAAACCAAGATTGAAGAACAACAAGGACATTTTGATCGAGAGACAGGAGTTTGATGATGAGATGATCGACGATGTGAATTGAGGGTAGGCGAGACTGGAATTCTAGGACTGATAGGTAAAGAAGAACGATTTGAAGCAGATCGACCACAGATACGATGAGCCAGATTGAGCGAAGTTCTACGAAAGCTAAAGGTCGAATGAGAAGCAGTCGAACTAGGTGAAACAGGATTGCCATTGAGTGAAATAAAAGCAAGTGAAGGTGAACCAGGTGAATTGATCGAATTTGAAGTGGTTACTGATGAAGATGTAGTTGAACTTGAACCAAGTAAAGGTGAAAGTGAGTTATTAAGCTGAAATCGAATGGATGACATCTTGAATGTTTGATTTCGAGTTGAACTTGAATGATATCTTGAGTGTTTTTGATGGTTTCTTGAGAATAAAAGTATGTAAAACTAGAAAGCTTGACTTGACAAGTTTATCTGAATGATAATCCATTCAAATAGTTTAATTCCATCTTGTGATTTATCTTGAACTGGATCTCGATATGGAATCGGTTGATCGAATGATGGATTAAATCGAATTGGATCTGGATGAATTCATTCAAATCACTAAAACAGCTGTTCTTATCAGTATGTCAAAGTTATTGAACAGAGATCGATTGAGGATCGATTGAATGAATGTGAGTCGATCAATTTTTGAAACTTTTACAATATAATGTCTCTGACTTACAATAACTTCAGAAACTGATCCCTTGATCCTTTTGATGATGTAAATTCAATACTTCAGTCTTGCCGCACGCTCATCGAAGGGTTGAAGTGATGTTTGAGAGTGTTTGAGACTCGGAGTGGATTTTAAGGGTTTTCTGTTGTGGCTATGTATGCAGTGTTGGCTATTTGATTATGTAATCGAAGGTTTAGCCTAAATCCGATTCCAAAATTGATTCAGACTCATCTCATCTTCATTATTCTTGGCATGAGTTTAATGTTGGTGCTCAGTTGTAAGAAACCTCCTGTCTCTTCTCCTCCCTGCTTGCACAGCAACACATTGAACTGAATTCTTTAAAGCATTTTGAAAACTGCCAAGATCAAATAGTCATAGCCTTTGATCAGCTTTGAACAAACCACAAGGGCAAACACGAGACTGCTGGAGGCGACTTCTCGAATCTTGAATACCCTTAATATGGGGAGACTGTACCAAAGCAGAATTGATGCAGACAAGAATCTACATCAGATTTTAAGATCACTGGTACTTTTGGTAAATATATGTTGGTCAAGAGAACATCAAATATTCGACTGATGAATTCAAAGAAAAATCCAATCTCATGATGATGATGAAAATCGACCGCACATATTGCGATCTTCTGAGTTAATCCTTGAGATCATAAGTTTGCCTTCAGATGTGGACCTGTTTAATTCTTACCCAGAAAGATCAACATAAGAAACATTGAAAAATCTTTCTCTCAACCATCTCTATCCACTACTTCATTCCTCATCTTTCCCTTTCCAAAGTTCATTGATTCTTCAGACCCCAACTATATTTCCATGTTCAATTCAATTTCTTCAACTCTTCAAATGTATACAAAAACAATTCCAAAAAAAAGAAACTTCCCTTCCCCCCTTAACCCCCACACAAACACAAACACAAACTAAAAACCGGTTAAATAAGAAAGAAAAAAAAGATTCAATTTACAAGAAAATCTATTTTTTTTTCTTTTCAAAAAACAAAAATCCAAAACTTGATTTTGATCAAAAAAAGAAAAGAAAAATATGTAATAAATAAAATCAAAGAAAAAAAAAACTTAAATGATAAGATTTTGAAAAAAAAATAATGATGATGAATTGGTTTAAAAATAAGTTTTTATAAATCATCAAAATTATATATATGTAATCACTTAAAAAACACACAACACAAAACACAAAAATAAAATCATAACTATATGTATGTACCATGATCTCCCAAAATTGAATGTATTCCAAAAATCCAAAACCCACATAACCAAAAGAAAATCCAATAAACCTTGATTATTTACACCTTTTGAAAAAAAAATCAGATTTCAATCCTCTTCTTCTTCTTGTTCAAGTTCATCAACTTTTCTCAACCTAATCCCCTCCAAAAACATCTTCAAAAACTCTCTTAACCCATCAATCATTCTCATCCGATTCCAATCTGATCTAAATCTCCAAATGATTTCATATAAGCCTGCTCTAAGTTCTTCTAATTCATCTACAACCAATCCTTCACTCTCTTCCACCAAGTTCACCATCAATTCATTCAATTCATCTTCCGGTACTACAAATTCTTCTTCTTCTTTGATCATCTCCTCTATCCGTTCTGCCTCTTCTTCTTCTAAGTCTTCATTCATCATAGGTAACTCTTCAATCTCTGTTCCATCTAATAAGCTATTCTCTATTATCATTGATTGGTCTTGATCAACAAATGAATGTAGTCCGGTACCATTTGGTAAGAATGTTCCAACTTCTCCTTGACCGTTGTTCAAGAAATTCAATGATGATGATGGACCAGCTTGAGGAGCTTGAAGATCAGTAAAGGTCTGCATAGGTGGTGCTTCACCTGGTTCATAACTAGGTGAAGTAGACCTATCCAGGTTCGAAATCGGTGCAGTGATTTGCTCGACAATCGATTCATGTTGAGGAAGATTCTGATCCTGATGATCATTCGACTCACACAGCTGTATTTCTTCATCCGCCTTACTTCTTTTCTGTTGCCTTTCCTCATCCCCAATATCTTCTACTTCCATAAGCCGTTTGATCCCTCTTTCACTCAAATCCGGATTATACGAATACTCTGGTTCTTTACCACTGTTTCGATTACTCTGTCTAGTCGGTAGATCTGCTCCAATCACAATCACTCCTGATCCGACTCGATCCTTCTTCTTCTCTTGTCCCAACTTAGGATCTCGTAATTTCATTCGTTCATACATCCTTGCACATTCAAAATCAAATTGTTGATCACAAGCTTGTTCTACCATGATCTTCGTATGTGTCAACATCGCTTGTGCCTTCACTGGTAATTCTCGATCAGATAAACCTGAGAGTTGTGAGTCAAGTTCAGCATTATGAACGATTCGTTCAACATCAGCTATGAATTGTTGTGAAGTAAGATATTTGCTGTAATAAAGCTTATAATGCATCCCATCTAAGTCGATGTTGTAAAATTCTATCAAAGGTGGAGGTGCTCCTGAGGCAGCTTGCAATGCTGCTGCCTCCTCTTTTAATCTAGCCAATTCAGTTGGATCAGGCTAGTGACAAAATTGGATTGAACTTGTTCAGTATCCGAGACAAGTACAAAGAAAAAAGAAAATCGCTCACTCCAATAGATTTTGTGAACCGTTTATGTTTCTTTTTCAGTTCGTTCAGAACAGGTCCCAAACGAAACTTGAGGTACTCTACCAACTTTCGATCTTGTGCGAGTTGTGAGTCTAATTCAGATTGAGTAGGCTCACGTGGCGCTCGTGGTGGTGCCTTAGGTAAGACTTCGAGTATACGTTTTTTACGTGGAATCCCATCTGGAAATCGATTAGGCGGCCGGTTAATACTCGCAAACGTCTCAGCAAAGAATGATTCACGTCGATTCAAATCTGGAGGTTCCAACACTATTCGATTCGTCTTTGTGATTCCGAACCATGATCGAACTGACGAAGGGAGTTGGTTCATTGGACAATTCACGATGCCTAGGAGCAAGATCGGATCTGAACTCTTGAGTTCATCTAGTAGACTCGTGATGGTTGCCTTGACGCCTTCCAATATGGGTGCATTCCAATTATGTAAGGCTGGGATATACAGCACTGATGGTTTGTGTCGTTTGGCTTCGGTGAAAATCTGGACTGCCCTTGCATCGGGACTCTGATTGACAAATGGGAACGAATCAGATCGGCACTAGGAGCGGATTGAGCGATAAAAAACCTTGTCACCTACAATTGTGGAATCACTGATCAGATTGGCCAGATCAAGAGTTTGTACATGATATCCTTCCAGGTGATGCAGGATCGCGCTACCGATGTAGCTCTGCCCGCATCCCTGTGGCCCCGAGATGATCATTCGGGGTCGGAAGACTCGCAGGGTTTCGAAAGCTGGATGTATGCGCGAAGATGGTCTGGTTAAGCGAGTTTCCTTGAATAGTTGTAGTTTGAAACATACATTGAATCATCTTTTCTCGCTCGAATCCACCGCCTGCGTCTTCTTCATACTCAGCTTCTTCCAACACGTTTGGTTTCTTGATATCCGGTAGGATCTTGGACAGTGTCTCTTTCGCACGTTCCAGCCATGTAGCCAATAATGGGAGTAATTGAGGTGGTAGAGGGGACGCAGCACTACTTGAGGATCGACTAGTGGATGGTATAAGATCTACAACAGGGAAAGGTTACGGTGAGCCCAAGATCTCAAGTTTTGCGCTTGGTAGACCCACGTTTTTGAGCAATGGTAAAGTCTCGTGCGACGACGTTGATATTTTTGGGGTCAATCACAAGTCGATCTGTAGACTTGTAAATCTGAGGGTATATCCGCTGTACTGCATTCATAGCAGCTTCCGTACATAGTGCCTGTGAATCAACAGATGAAAAGTGTGAGTAGAGTGCGTTAGACTCAAGAGAGAGAGAAAACCTACACGTAGGTCAGCACCACCATAGCCTTTTGTCAGCTCAGCTAGCTCAGATTTGAACGAATTTTCCAGCGGAGGATCCCATCCACGAGTGTGAATGTCAATAATACTCAATCGAGCATCTCGATTAGGTAAAGGGAAATAAAACTCTCGATCGAACCGACCCGGACGACGCAAGGCGGGATCCACCGCATCAGGTCTGTTGGTAGCACCGATGATCACCACTTGACCCCTACCATCCATCCCGTCCATGAGAGAAAGAAGTGTAGAGACAATTGAAGCATGAATCTGTTCCTGTTTACTACTCCGTACCGGTGCCAAACCATCAATTTCATCGAAAAAGATTATACTTGGTTGACAGTTTTTAGCCTCCTCAAAGAGAAGACGTAATTGTCTTTCAGCTTCACCGACCCATTTACTCAGACAATCGGCTCCTTTACGCATGAAGAAAGCTATTGAAGAGTAAATTAAACGAGATGAGCAATGAGATGTCGAAGAGATTTATAAATTGAGCGCCATCACTCACCAATCTTTTGTCCCTCACTGCTACAGCTCGCAGCTAGCGCACGTGCCAAAAGAGTTTTCCCTGTACCAGGTGGCCCATGAAATAGCACACCTCGAGGCGGGGTGATTTGAAAGCGTTGAAAGACTTCTGGATAAAGGAGAGGGAGAGAGACCATTTCTTTTAATTGTTGAATATGATGTTCCATTCCTCCTACATGGCTAAAGTCGATATTTGTTTGTACCCCGAGTGGGTCGGTATCGGCCAAATCTGTAAAGAAATGAAAACAAGATGATCTTAAAAAACGTGGGATGAACTGAATCGAGATTCAGAGTCACTAACTCGTCGCTCCAGACATCTTTCCCATATTGCTTGGTCCACCACCACCCATATTACCAGGATCGAAGAGACCACCACCAAAGAGACCTGTTGAAGCAGCTGCTCCTCCCAAGATACCCGCACCCGCAAGTTTGTTGGCAGTAAAAGCGGCCCCAGTTTCTTCGTCCTTAGAATAGGATTCAGATAATCCGAATCAGCCCATGATGGATGATAGGAAAAGCGCGTGGATGAAACAAGAATGAAACTGACTGAATCATGACCGGGTCGAGCTTGACCAAAGAATTGATCATATTGTTTTCCGGACATTGAATAAGGTAATCGGATATCTTTACCACCGCTCTTCCTCGACCGAGGCTTATCGGTTGACTCAAAGATCGGAAAGGCAGCAATCTCATAATTCACTTTTTTATCACGAGTTCGAAGTGTACGTCCAGCATGTTCCTCGTGAGCGTTCTGAGCTGTTTCACTTTCGTCACCCTTGTTCTTTAACCCACGCGTACTACGACGAGTGGCCCCGCTGGTATGATTGGCACCTTTTCTCTGAGTAGCTAATTTATCCAGGACCGTCTTTCTCTGAGCTCTCGAGCTTAAGGGAAGGTCATCTTCATCTGATTCGTGTATTGAAATGCGATCTTCTTCTTCCTCTTCTTCTTCAGGAGTCGTGTCACCTTCATCAGATGTACTTGTAATCTTTGATTTTTTAGACCTAGATGACTTTGCTTTCTTTTTGACGACTGCACCACTACAATCTGATGGTGGATGTTCGATTGAAACTGATCGATCATGTTCTGCATCATCTTTATCACCATTATATTCACTTCCTGAATCTGGATGTCCGTATGTATGATTTTCTTGATCTTCATCTTGATCATCATCTTCACCTTCAGCATCTCGTTCATCTGAATTGATGTATTGATCCTGTGAGTGATAATCGGGTGCTGAAGCTGAACCATAACCGTTTTGATGTACTTTCTGAGTGTTCTCTGCACCGATCACATTATGAGCCGCTCGAGTTCGGGCATGAGAGTCAACTGGTCTATGAGGTATTTGAGAAGCACTAGATCGCTTTGGTCGAGTAGATTGTTCATCGTATTGAGGACCATGAGGATAGATTGGAGTAGGAGGTTTCCGTGTGCGAGATGGACGTGAAGAGGGTAGTTCATGAGAAGTGGTGATCGAATTTGATCTTTTAGGCATGTTGGTAAGTTGATGAGGTTGAAGACTTGATGATGATGATGATGATGATGATAAGTTAGTTGAGATGAATGGTGATTTTGTAGTAGACCAAGCTGTTGTTGATATTCTGATGATAGTATCTCTAGAAGAAGTTGAATGAGAATGAGATTGATGAACTTCAGCTTCTGGCATCTCATTCGATTCAAATTTCAATTCATCAAACTTCAATCACATTCAGACTGTCACACTCAAGACTCTGATCACATAACATCAAACTAAACTACATTCTATCGGACTTATATCAAAACTACATTAAAACTCAATTCAAACTACATATATCAAGAATCTATTACGGAACACGGATTCTTGTGTTTCTAAAAAAAGAAGCTCAATCCTCCATATCACTTTGTATCAAAAATGTAAACATGTACTCAAACAGACTCAAACTTTTTCGTAAAAAGCTCAGAACAACTGAAACCCAATGCCCATACTCTATCTATACCATCAAAAAATACTTTTTCCATAAATATGCATCTTGATAACCATAAAAAACACCAAATCTTCCCTCTACAAAGAAAATGCAAAAAAAAGGTTTCAAAACACACACCCACACAAGATAAACCAATCTCAATTTGAACGCATTTACATATTTTCAAATCTTTAAATTCTTGAAACTTGCAACAACTTGATCTTTTTATTTTTTACAATCTTTTCTTTTCTCACCAAAAAAAACACTTTCAATATTATATTATTATATGTATACTATATATCTTGTATGTAAGAAATCAACCATTAATAAATCATCAAAACCCAATCATCTTAATCTACTATATGTACTACTACTACTATTTTTCTTTGTAAAAAAACAAACAAACACAAACACAAAACCTCTATTTTTTTCTTTCAAGACAAATTCACATTCTTTCTTATAAATAATCAAAACCATAAACAATAACCAATCAACAAGAAACCCACTTCTGTTTTTTTTTCAAAAATATTTAAACAAACAACACATCTTCGATCATTCATTCATGAATCCCAAACTTTTTTTTCTTTGGTGGGATTCAACTTCAATTCATTCTTGATTTTCTTTTTTTTGGTTTTACAAACCTTCTCTTCTCATTAAAAACCCACCTAATTCTCCATCTTGTCTTACCACACCAATCGATCCCACCGGAATCAAAAGACTACCGAAATCATCAGCATAAGGTGGAGGAGCATTCACACTACTTAGATTATTAAGATTATTATCACTGATCTGGTTATGATTCAAATGATTTCGAACTTCCACTTCATTCACTTGATTTGATTCGATTGATTCTTGATCACTTCTACTACTACTGGCATTCAAACTCGCCCATCCCACTGCATAAGCCGGTGGCATCGTACCATTTTGGGTTTCGGTTTCAGTTTCGATCGGATGAGTCGGTACAATGCTTTCACTTGAAGTAGAATGGTTCGGTAGAGATGGATTCACTACATAGTTTCCAAACCTTGCTGTGGCTTCATCAAAACAAACAAATTCAAAACTTCCTTGGTTCACAGAACTTGAAGGATCGGTGGAAGTCGGATCTAGTTGGATTCCATCAGGTGGGGTATCAGGTGCAGGTGGTGGTGATTCATCTTCATCTATCGTAGGTGGTGCTGGGCCTCCTTGTCCAGCTAGACTTGAAAAACTTTCATATCCATCATACTCTTCTTCTTCTTCGTCTTCTTCCTCCTCCTCTGTTTCAGTATGTGACTCTCGTATTGTTTGAGATGTAGAAGATGTACCAGGAAAGTTGTACGGTTCGTCCGTTTCAAAATAAGTGGGAGCTGGTGCTTCTTCCCATTCTTGATCTGTACTAGACTGAGCTTGTTCTTCAGCTGCCTCTCGTGCTTTTCCACTAGCTGCTAAGGTGAGAGGGGCTGGAAGTTCATCTTCTGAAACAGGAGGCCAATCCGGTACTACGCCTATTGCTTGATTCAATTCGACATCAAACCTCTCACCTCCTCGACCTGAGATTTGAATTGTGATGGTCACCGAAAATGAGACCTGATGAAGTAAGGTAGATTGACTGATCGAATTACACTTCCAACCGGATGTTGTAGTCTGAGGAATATTAACAGGTGAAATCTCATCAGTCGTTGAAGATGGGACAGGCGTAAGCTCAGAGCGATGTGGCTGTAGTGTGAGTCGAAGAAAAACTGATCGAGTTGATGAAAAACGACATGATTTTCCAGAGATCGCCAAAAGACTCGTGATCACTCTGTTACTTGAAGATGATGAATCATCTGAGGTCGATTCTGGGTTTGTAGAACCTGATGAAGCGTCGTAAGGGGGAGCTCCAGTAGAGGATCTTTCGGTAGTTGAAGAGCCGTTCTCCTGATCAATAGAGGATTGGATCCGAATGTGTTGATGTAGTTCTGCTCGGACACTTCGTAGCCGAAGTCCTTTTTCACGAATCAATTCTTCAGTTGGAGGTGGAATTCTAACTTGAAGTGCCAGTGGTTCAGAGTGGCGAAGTAAGGTTTGAGACAAAGAGACGTAAATAGGTGTAGGTGATAAGCTTGTAAGTCTGACAGGAGATAGCGTAAAAGGTTGTTGGTTTTGATCGAGGGGTTGCGGAGATGGAGGTGGAAGAAGTTGAATAGCTGGATTTGAATAACGTGAAATGTGTACGGGAACTTTGAGGTGAAGATGCTCGAGTAGATGATCAGGTTGATGATGATCGTTGGTCAAGAGATGAGAAGAATTGGTATAGGTGATATGTGCATCAAGTTCATAATGAAGACCACCACCGTTAGGTAAATGAATACAGTGAGGCAAATCAGGAGTGAGTGAGAATTGAAAAGGTAAATTTGAAGGTGGTTTTGAATGATGATTTGGAGTATTTGAGCATGAAGGTTGAGATGAATGATGATGGTTGAGAAGATGATGTGTAGTCTGATGTTCCCATAAGATTTGATGTAGTTGAAGGAAATCGATTGATTGTAGTTGATGATTAGATTCTAAACCAGAGAAGGTTAGAGAGACTTGAGTGATTAGAAATGTATTTGAAGTTGAGATGATCTTGAGTTGAAGTTCACCCTGAACAAAAGCAGGAGTGACACCTAAATAACCACTTAAGAATGATAAAGTAGGAGAAAGAGTCGTCAGATTGATTAAGAATGGATGATTGTTGATGGGATTATTGAGATTGTAAAGTGGTGGATCGGTGATTGACATAATCTATTGATAGTTCTTCATTAGTTAACCACAATCAACAATAACAATTTAAAGAAAGTTAACGTTACTTTTGCTATTTTCTTCTCAACTTTCAATCAATTTCTAGTTTTAGTGTTTGGTATTTTTGTTGGATTGATGATGGATGAATGATGATGACTGTTGAATGCGCAATGGTCAGATTCAAATTAAAGTTGCACATTTCCAGTTTAAATTACTAAATTAAAACTACTTAACACCTAAGCTTAAGCTCTAAACTTCACTCCTATCACTTCCTTCTTCATTCATCATTCATCAATCTATCCAAAAAAATTTATCTTAAAAATATCTATAAAGTTATTGAATATTGGTTATTCTCCTTATAACATTTATTTAGAATTTCTTAACCTTTATTCCAATCTATATTTTTGAAAAACATCTCATTAAAACTCAAGACCACCGGAAGAAAGACACTTACCACGAAAGATAAGAATCAATGCTAAGGGCCCGTTCGGCTGGTTTTCGAAAAATTCGTTTTTCGGCTTTTCCGGTTACCGAACAGTTGACCAATAAGGTCAACGAAAGATCAAAAAGATCGTCGTTGACCATTTGATCATCGTCGACTGTTCGGTAACGATGGAATGAAAGTGTTTTTCAATTGAAAACAAACCGATTGCTTGAAAATCAATCGGTCCGTTTTCGTTTTCGTCTTCCCATTTATCCATCCATCCATTCATCCATTCATCACGGTCATCAGAGACCAAATTCATCAGATCATTGTGACATTTGACATCATGTCTTTTAAAACATCATGGCGCATTGTTCTCGCTCTTCCCTTCAGTCTTTCACACCTGAAAAGCGCGCCAAAGTTCAAAAGTTGCTTAAATTGCAATTTCTCAAACAGCTCCTTGCTGTTCAACAGCAACAATGTCAAATTTTTTGCTACTTTAGCACTGGTGTACAGGCTTGTGCAGCTCAAATCCTGCCTCATCTCACCAAAACTCCGCATCTTACTTCCATCCTCAGCAGTCAGGCTTGGATTGATGAGCTCATTGCTAGTCCAAATAACTCAGTTTTTTATGATAATCTTGGAATGAACAAATCTGTTTTTTTTGAACTACGTTCAGTACTTGAAGAAACTGGAATTTTTTATGACTCCCGTTGGATCACCAGAACTGAGAAGTTGGCTATCCTTATTTATACTGTCATCACCGGCCTTTCTAATCGTAAACTTCAAAATCGTTTTCAAAGATTGGCTGATACTATTTCTAATTAATTCAACTATCTTTCATTTTTTGCTTTTTTTTTGGTTCTTTTCAAATTTTCTCATCACTATCTCTTTTGGCTAGGACAATCAATCACCTTATTAAAGGAATTTCCAACAACAGAGATTTACTCAGCAAATATATTCCTCTTCCCAATGCCAACACTCCTCTTGCAGATACCTTTTCCGAGAATCCAAAGTTCATGCCTTATTTCAAAGACTGCATCGGTGCAATTGATGGTTCACACATTCCGGTCACTCCGCCAGCTTCCGAATTCATTCCTTTCTCTAATCGTAAAGGCTACACATCTCAGAACGTCATTGCTGCCTGTAATTTCAATATGGAGTTTATCTATTCACTGGTCAGAGCTGAAGGAAGTATGGCCAACAGTGCTCTTTGGACTTTGGCTCAAAGTCGTGATCTTACTATCCCTGCCGGAAAATATTATCTTGGTGATGCTGGCTTTGCTCTCACTGAAGATTGTATTGTTCCTTTTAGAAAAGTCCGTTATCATTTACAAGAGTGGGAAAAGAAAGGTTTCAAGTGAGATTTATTTTTCTTCCATCATTTTCATACTTTTCTCTGGCTTTCTTCTTCTCACCACTCCTATCCGTCCATATTAGACCGATGAATAAAGAAGAACTATTCAATCTTCGACATGTAACATTATTGAGCATATCTTTGGAGTTTGCAAGAAGCACTTTAAGATCATGGCTCACGGGTGTGAATACACCATCAAGATTCAAATTTCAATGGTCACTGTTATGTGCTTCATTCACAACTTCATTTGTGTTAAAGCTACAAAAGGTTCAGCTGAAGAATTCCCTCAATTTGGAGAAGGATTCATTCCCAACCCTCAAGAAACTACAGAAGCGCCTACTCAAGAACAATCTGGTTATCTGCAAGAATTTGGTAGTACTGCTGAAGGTAATAGCTATGCTAAAAACCTCAGAGATCAAATTGCAGAAGATATGTGGAGGGATTACTTAGTAGAGACTGAAAGAAGAAAGAAGGTAAATCGAACTAAACAATGACACAGACTACCTCCCATGTATCCTGGTGTTTAAATCATATATGTAGCTATTTCAATTTTTATTTTACAACTCTCAATCAAAGCATTTTTAATTTATACATGTATCATTTATCACAAGTCTCAAAAGCATTCTTAGCTCACATGTATTACAAGTCTCACTTAGAAGTATTTTTATTTTACATTTATTAGTCAAACCTTTTGTTTTTGTTTGTTTAAGGAAAGGTCCCCTCAGTTCATAATCAGTTCATATCATGAGTCTTTTGATAACACATATATAGGTTGACATTGCAATCACTAAAAAACCAACAGTCACACCCACTACTACACTTGTATCAGCATGTTTATATACAAATGTAGTCTTTATTTAAAGGTTTAATAAATTTTTATTTAAGATCACTCAGCTACAACATTTTTAATTAAAGGTTTAATAAGTTTTTATTTAAATCAGACAACCACAACATTTTTATTTAAGAACACTCAGCTATGAGACATTTGTATCAGTGTGTATAGATGTCATTGATAATAATTGAAACTTGACCTTGAAAGTAAAGAGAATGATGAGATAAATGATCACAATTAGTCAGTAGATATTGAATGAAATGAATGATTATAAATGAACTACTGACTACTTTTGTTGAGGATGTATAGGAGCCAACCATCATGCTCAGAAGGTGGTGTATTGACAAAAGTCTCAGCCATCACAGGCTTTTCAGCAAATAGATCTCAAGCAGTGTAACGTTGAGTGGGTTCAAGAGATGATTTGTAAATGAGAGAGACAGCTAAAGCATGAGTTGATGGCTTTTCAGCTTGAATCAACAATTATGTGGTGAAAGCAGAGAGAGAAATTACAGATCAAACGCAGGCACAATGAGTGTCTCCGCAATATGAGACCCAGACAAGTCTTATCTCTGTGTTTTGCACTTGCCACTGCTGATTGCCAAGAAAAAAGGGCATCATCATTGTTGAAACAATTATGTGGTGAAAGCAGAGAGAGAAATTACAGATCAAACATAGGCACGATGGGTGTCTCCACAATGTGAGACCCAGACAAGCCTTCTCTCTGTGTGTTGCACTTGCCACTGATGATTGCTAACTAAAAAGGGTGCCATCATTCTTGAAACATTCATGTGGCAAAAGCAGAGAAAGAAGTTACGGATCATACATGTGCACAATCAGTCTCCGCACAATATGAGACTCAGACCCACCTACATCTTGAACGCTCAAACAAGACTACACCTGCAATCAACTGCAGAGTTGTGTGCCGGGATTGGATGACCAAGAAACAGTTGCATCCTAGAGGCTCAGCCACTCTTCCTCCAACAACTATAAAAGCTTGACTCTGTCTCTGAACAATCCCTCACTCACAAATCATCTCATTGAGATTTATTTATCTGACCTACCCGGCTGTCTTGGTGTGCCTCCCTGTCACTTCTATTGCTCAACTGGCTACATCACCTATGTCAAAAGATGATCTTAAATCAACTGACTTTACCTATGGTTTCCTGAACTTGTTCATTGGTGTAGATCTCATTGGTTTCCATCAAAACCCAACCTTCACAAACCATTTTCAGATATCATTGCTCCAGCTTCTTGGTGAGTCTTGGAGTATCTCATCTATTGTTTCTTGTCACGTCTTTCCATCACTAACACTTGGGCAAAAACCTCAGTACCTTGTCATGAAGATTGTCATTATTGCAGCCTTACTTGTCATATCAGCAGCTTCCAGTCAGTCTGCTCAAATAACAGAAATCTCCAGTGCAGAAGGTTTGAACAAATTACACAATGGATCCCCAAGAGACAAAACCTATATGAAGCTAGAAAGTAACCCCATAGGAGACCCCGATCCCGATTCTGATTCCGATCATGATTATGATTAAGATGAACAAAAACTAAGGGAAATTGATACGGACCATTGTAACAAGCCAGGTTAGACAGGCACTCTTTACTGTGGGACTGTCAGTTCATTTGCATTACTAGATGTCCAGAAGGGCGTGGGTCAGAGCACCTGTGGCTACCTGCCCCTTTAACTTGTATCCAATAAAAAACGGGTAATTCCTATTGGATACAAGCCAAAGCTCCCTTCCAACACGCCGGGGGTGTTGGCGTGTCAGATTCACCGCCTCAAACTTTTGCTCAAATACCCACCAGACGTAATGAATGGAACATATCTTTTTATAATAGGTGTTATAAGGGAGTGTTATAAGAAGCTGACTATGCATATAGCTGGCTACATATTAAAAGTATCAACACTTTTTACATGTCTGGGAATCATAGTCACATCTATGTGAATGCTATTCACACCAATGTGACCTGATTCACATGTGGGTGAATGTAAAGATTGCAAAATTGATTAAATCATAAAATTACATTGTTTACATATCTGGGAATCATGGTCACATGTATGTGAATGCTATTCACATCAATGTGACCTGGTTCACATGTGGGTGAATGTAAATATTGTGAAAGAAATTGAATTACAAAATTATGTACATGATACCTAAAATTTACAACCATGTTGCTTAATTCACAAAAAACGAGTCAAATGATACTCAATGAGAGTTATACATGTGTGATTATTGATCTGAATGCTGTGATTCAAGGTCACAAAATTGTGATCCACGTTCACGCTGTTGTGATTTCTGTTTAAATGATTGTGATTGATACATAGGATTTTGAATTGTTGGGATGTAAATCAATTACTTCTGCTTGCTTACAGAACCTTTTAA